ATCAAGAAAGCTTTTGCCTAAGCTAACTGCAAACTGCTTGGAACCGCAAGTCCAGAACCGACCTTTCACCTAGAAACATCCTTGTACCCCTAAAGGAAAAGGGAAGCCATGAATCAGAAGACACTGGTACAAACTCCCCCTCAGATGCAGGCTAAAATGGTCCACAAAACAGGAAGGGCCAAACCACAAAAACTCCCTACATGAGGCAGAATGCATAGGGGGAGGTAAGGCCAGGAGATTCCCTCCCTGAGTCTCATTTCCCCGTTCTGTCAGAACTAGGGAAAAGGTCAGACTCTGCATCATTGTGCAGACAATGGAAAGCAGAAGTTAGGGAGTGAACTCTGCGCACGGCCAGGAACTGGGAGCATGGCAAGAAGCGCGCTAATTGGTTATTCGCTGGCGTTCGTGACTGTCTCATGATTGTCTCATGATCTGTGATTTGCTCAGGTATAAAAACCTCAGGATTTGTATGCTTCGGGGTCCCAGTCTTTTGGAAAAGATTCCAACTGGGTCCTTATTGCTCAGCAATAAAACCTCACCTTCTTTTTCTCCAAAAGCTGTGTCTGTCTGGTCCTTATTCCACCCTAAGTGGGAACCACTATATTTTCACGTGCTTCACAAGGAGGTAAGGAAGTGATACAGGGCTTCATACAAGCAACACTAGCTGCTTCAGGAGTGGAGATGTTGCTCCAAATGTTGCTGGACTACACTTTCCCATCAATCTTGACCATGGGTAGGCAAACTAAGGCCCAGGGGCCGGATCCGGCCCAACTGCCTTATAAATCTGGCCCATGGACGGTCTGGGAATCAGCGTGTTTTTACATGAGTAAAGGTAAAGGTAAAGGGACCCCTGACCATTAGGTCCAGTCGTGGCCAACTCTGGGGTTGCGGCGCTCATCTCGCTTTACTGGCCGAGGGAGCCAGCGTACAGCTTCCGGGTCATGTGGCCAGCATGACTAAGCCACTTCTGGAGAACCAGAGCAGCGCACGGAAACGCTGTTTACCTTCCTGCCACTTTGAGGTGCTTTCGAACTGCTAGGTTGGCAGGAGCAGGGACTGAGCAACAGGAACTCACCCCGTCGCGGGGATTCGAACCGCCGACCTTCTGATCGGCAAGTCCTAGGCTCTGTGGTTTAACCCACAGCGCCACCTGCGTCCCTCTTTACATGAGTAGAATGTGTCTTTTTATTTAAAATGCATCTCTGGGTTATTTGTGGGGATTAGGAATTCATTCATTTTTTCTCCCAAAATATAGTCCGGCCCCCCACAAGGTCTGAGGGACAGTGGACCGGCCCCCTGCTGAAAAAGTTTTCTGACCCCTGTTCTTGACCACTGACCATGTTAGCTGGGGGAATCTCCAGAAGCTTTGGAGTGGGTGACTCCCAGACGATACAAGCAGAGGGGAAGGAACTTTCTGAGAACTTATTTCATTTACCTTAGGATCCAAGACTAATTTTAGACAATTCCTTCCTTTTTCAGCACCGCCCCCGCTGCCATGCACCAACTCACATTTCAAGGTTTGCAGTTCTTTATGCAATCATGTACACAGTCACATCAAAATTACTTTTTTTGTTTTTAGGGAGTTTTAATAATGCACAAATGCAGATAAAAACTTCACAGCAGAGATAGAAAACCTTTAAGAAAATAGAAGGAGGTGAAAGATCGGGTGAGTCCTGCATGCTTTGCCTCAAGTGAACATACCTGTAAACATGCTCACATTTCATTGGATACCAGGATTGGACACCTACCTTACCTTCTGTTCTGGAAGCTTCTAGAATGTGATGGTGGCGAATGCAGGTGCCTTTCCTCCATTGACGAGGGGGCGTTCCCGTACCATTTTCTTTCCCTGTACTTTTCAATGTGTCGATATTCTGTGTTAAGTTACAACCCCATGGAAGCCATGTTCTGCCACACCCCAAGGCAACCATTTTGTGTCATGCCACAACTACGCAGTCGCCATTTTGTGACTGGCACCCATGGCACTTTCTTGATTCCAAATGGGCTCACTGTCCCCAAAATGTTGGCAAGCTCTACCTTATTGTAATGGAATTTCACTAGAATATGCTTTTGGCATTTTATATCTTTTTTTAAAAAAAAAGTGTGTGGAGGTGGAACGATCACAGCCAAACATTCCCATCTGTGTCTCAGCTTCTTCTGCAACTGAGTGTTGGCATGCCTTGGGTTTCAAGGGAGAGAGGGGGGAAATGTCCTGTTTTCGTGTTTTTATAGTAATGAGCTGTGCAATATGCACCATCCAATTACAGCTGTGTTTTGTGGAAGTACTTCAGCAAGTACTTCCACACTAGTCGGAAGCATCTTCATATAGACATAAGATGAACTTGCAGGGTCAGGCCAATGTCTCATCTAGTCCAGCATTCTGCTTTCCCAGTGGCCAATCAGAAGCCCGAAAGCAATATGTGAGTGCAACATCTAAAGTTCCAAATTGTGGCAACTTTACATTTTATTTCCCACTATTGTCTTATCTGTGTTTCCTGGACCAGTATCTTCCTAATGTTTTTCACTTTCTACTATGAGAAAATAAAAATAACTACCTCCAAAATGAAGGGTGTTGAAAGAAAGAAAGAAAGAAAGAAAGAAAGAAAGAAAGAAAGAAAGAAAAGATACAAGTGCTGTCTCTCTCCCCCCCCCCCCCAGCAAGGCCTCTTTTTTTAGGAGTGAGGGTATTGGAAGTGACATACAGTGGTACCTCGGGTTACAGACGCTTCAGGTTACAGGCTCCGCTAACCCAAAAATAGTACCTCAGGTTAAGAACTTTGCTTCAGGATGAGAACAGAAATCGCATGGCGGCGGTGCGGCAGCAGCGGGAGGCCCTATTAGCTAAAGTGGTACCTCAGGTTAAGAACAGTTTCAGGTTAAGAACGGATCTCCGGAACAAATTCAGTTCTTAACCTGAGGTACCACTGTATATGCAACATCCTGTATTTTTCCCACTTGAAGAAACAGACCACGTTTCAGCGTCTTTTTTCTCTCTGTGGTTTTCCTTCATCCCACAATAGGCAGTTTAAAAATGTGTTGATAAAAGGCCAGAGTATATTATTCAAACTTTTCTGGTAGCTACATAGCTTGTGTTTGTTCCTTGTGTTTCAGGCATAATTATGATCATTCCAGCTGTGCATATAATACCAATGGCACATTTGGAACCATCCCATCTTGTAGCCTTAACTGTACATTTCTATGCATGTTTACACAGAAATAAGGGTGGGGTTCTTGCAATTTCTTATTTTTCCATTCTCAAATCAGTTCTCCACATTTCCACATCAGTAACGGGATACCTTGTTTTTAAAGTCCTCCCGAAAATTTCTCCTAATATACAGGTTTGTGTGCAATATTGCTCACTATCCACAATTTGGGAAAGCTTCTACTAATACTTGTATATCCCCTAACATAAGGCATTTTTGTATGCAATATCTGCATTTTTATGCACACTTTATCCTACAATATGCATTTTATTTTTATTTTTTACGAATTACTAGGCTGGAGAACTGCACTGCAAATTTCAGGCAAGTGTGACTTTAAAAGGATTGTGTTTCCAATCTGCGTATTGTTTCAGAAAGTGCAAATTTGCCTTTAAATGAAAAAAAATCAAACTTATTTCCCATCCCTACACAGAAGTAAGTTCCACTTTGTTCAGTGAGGCCTGCTTCCAGGAAAAATTGCAGACGTCCTTTTGCTTCTTCCTCATTTAAATAAAAATAAAAATAATTAAAACTGTTCACCTGCAGTCATCTAAAGAAAACAGGTAAAGCATAAGGACATTTCCAGTCAAATAAGTAGGCGGCTGAGATTTTAACAGAGCACTTGGGATGCATGAGCTGTGGCCTGAGGGAAAACAAATGTTGACAACCAAGAATACTTAAAGAAATGAATCCCCTGAGATGGGGCTCAATGGGTGATAAATTGCCAGAAAGATTCCTCCTGAAAAGTAATATAAAGTATATAACCACATAATATGTAGGGAGGGGGAAGGTTAGTGGCATTTTGATGCCTTCATATAGTAAAACTATAAATGAATTATTGAAACAAGAAGTGTTTGGCATACTTAACATAAGAGTATTAGAAGAAGGAAGATCATAGAATGGACAATATTGTGATGTGAAGGAGCTTTGTGTTTATGGGCTACTTGTGAGATTCTTCCTTCCATAATTTACAGCTTGGCTGGATAAGGAAAGCAGAAGTACGAATTTTAAAAATGTAACACGAAAGGGAAACCTCACTAGTGGGAGGATTAAAGCAAATGTAAAATGTGCTATGATGTAATCAACAAAAATGGCCACCTGCTCTTAGAAAACTACCATCGTCCATCACCTCCCTGATTTGTGCAACACAATAGGAAAACAGCCCCCCCCCTTTTAAAAAAGGGAAAAAGTGTGTTCTTAACTTGCAGATTCAGAAGCGGCTTGCCTAGTGGGCTAGAGCCACAATGCCTAGCATCCCGGCAGCAGGTGGGAGGAAGAGGTGTGAGGGGGCTACCAGGGTCATCTAGTCCAACCCCCTGAAAGGCAGGAAGCTTTGTCCAATATGGGGCTCAAATCAATGAGATACAGAGTCTCATGCTTTACCAACTGAGCTAAGCTAGTGTTGCGGTTCCAACCCACCGGGAGAGAAACTTCTGTGCAAATTAAAATTTACCATCAATTAATCACCACTTTAATTGGCTGATCTAGCAATAATGAAAGTGTACGAGCCTTGTTTATATTGATTAATATAGAATAACACCATTTGTTTCTGCGTGTGAGCGTGCAAACACACACACACAGAGTAGTCTGACGATCTAAAAATAAAAATAAAAAATTCCTGGTGTCAGACACGTTAGACTAATTGGTGTTGAATCTGCCGTTAGCGGCATCCGCATTCCATCTAGTGAAAGCTTGGCTGCAATACATTTACCAAGATAAGATTTCATTCAGCGATTGTTCTGAAGTTTTATAAATACTCAAAGCCAGTTAAACAGGCTGCACCAATGAGCCTAAAGAGAGAGAGAAAATCCTCTTAATTTTTATTTATTAAAATGGAGCTATTTTTACATATTTAAAATATTTTATATCCAAATTACAGGGTATTTTAAAAGAAAAACCAGATAAATGCACAAAACTGGTAAAAATAAAAACAGATCTCACTCTCACTCTGACTCAGTTTGGATCCAGTGCTAAACCATGATTTTGTGTTATGAGGGTTCTAAGGCTTGCATTCTCCTTCCTCCAGCACAGCCATGAGGGAGAGTTTGGGCATTTTTGTTCCATTTTTGATTAACTGCGGCTTATCATCCAAACCCAACAAACCGTGGTGAATCTTAACTATGGTTAGCTGAAACAGACCATCTTCAAACCGTGGTTTAATAACCAAACGATGCTTTTAACAAGCCTTAGTTTAGGGTTATGGCATAATGTGGTTGATCAAAACCTTCCAATGTCTTCCAGGATCTCATCCTCATAACATTAACCATGGTTTAGCAATACATCCCAAACACTACCCTCACCTCCTCTATAGATATATACCATGATTCAAAATATAGTCCAGGACTGTAGAATACCTGAGACTTCAATAGGTTTGTTTTCTACATGTTACAGAATCTTAACAGTTCTATGGAAAAATGGATTTGATCTCATAGGCAGAGAACTTCTTTGGCTAGACATATTTCAGAAGAAGATTAAGGAACAGGTCCTTGCTGGCGGAAGTCAATGCCGATCTTCAGGTTCTTCCAAGCAAATGTCTGTTTGAGATGTCAAGAAGGACTCCCAGGTAGCAAGGCACTTAAAACAAGAGGGGGGAAATTAAATTGAAGTCATGCAAACCTGTTCAAATGTCTTGATGAGCGTGTAATATAAAACAAGCAGTAGGGTGAAATGTTAGGACCCATTAATTTTCCTAAGGAGAGCAACATTTTATGTCCATTTAAAAACCACAAGGAGTGATGAGCAGGGCCATAGCTTATTCTGACAAGTAGCTGCTTTGCCCGTGTTCAGCAAATCGATTCCTGGTAACTGGCTGCTTATTTTAGGTACTTTTAACTTGAAAAGGTCTGCACTGATTATTACAGTCTTGATCACACTACAATAAAAGGTCAACGAATACTGGCTCTATGGATGGCAGCTCTTTAGGCAAAGGATATAAAAAAGTCAGCTTGCCTTCCTCTCAAAAGCACAGAGGCCTACCCCTTATTTATTTACAACTTTTACACATTGCTCTTTAGTCATGAAGCACACAGGCTCATTCACAGATCTGCTTGCCTTGTGCCTAGAAAGCACGGGTTCAAGCAGTTTTGCGCCTGTCCCGTGCTTTCTAGACACAGATCTGAGCGGTTTTGCCCTTTCCCTCTGCCTTTACCCAGAAAATCCGCTCTCTAGTGCTAAATCAGAAGAAACAGCAACTCATGGGAAATCCTATTGCTGTTTGTTCTGATTCAGTGCTAAACTGCGGGCTTTCTTGTTTGAATCTTTGAGCGTCAATTGTGTGCACGAAAAAGAGAATCGGCTAGGCATGGAAATTGCTATTAATCTTGAATTGTTTTGAAGATAGATGAAAGAAGATACTGGGGGATATTTAGTAAGCAGGAAAATTAGTCAAAGAAGGCCGTTGAAAAATGATCAGGGCTTTTTTTCAGCTGGAATTCAGTTCCGGCACCTCTCAGATGGGAGCCATTGCCATTGTAAGAGAACAAGGAAGATGCTCATGGCGAGTTCCAGCGCCATTATTTCTAGAAAAATAGCACTGAAAATGATTCTATGTAATCCACATGGTATTATGATGAGGGCTGATCTGAAGATCTAAATAATTTTGATTGGTTCAGGATAATGATGCTGGGTTACAACGGCTAAGATTGCTGTGATCCTTTGAGTGGTGAGCAGAAATCATGCGTATAATAAGAAGCATTGCTTTCACTTGAAGCTGGCATCGCTTTCTTTTGGGATTATGGGAGGTATGCCTCCAGTGTAGGAACCGCTTTTAAATTTATCCAACAGTACAAGGTGCAAAGTTCAGCTTCTCATGAAACTGTTTCTAAATTAAAGACCAAGTTGGTTCCTAGCCCCGGTGGTTGTGAATACAGTGGAACCTCGGTTGTTGAACGCTTTGGAAGCCGAACAATTTGGAACCCAAATGCCGACAACCCGGAAGTGAATACTTCCATTTTCGAACGTGCCTCGGAAGTCAAACAGCTTCTGAGGCACATTTCTCCATTTTTAAAAAGGAATTTGCCGACCGGCAATTGTGCCTCGGTTGTCGAACGTTTCGGAAGTCGAACCGTCTTCCGGAAAGGATTACGTTTGACAACCGAGGTTCCACTGTACAGGAGTTCAAGGTATTGCTAAGTAGATTGCCCTGTCTGCCTACCCCCCGTGGGCAATGATTCTGTGCTAATGATTTTGAATACAGAAACAGAGGTGGCAGCAACTAAGAAATATACAACAGTGTGATCTTCCATGCATATAGCGGAGGTCCCAGTTGGACCACAGCCTCCAGTCTATCTGACTGTAAAGACAGACTGTGGATCAATTTTACAGTAGCCACAACTGTGGAAAGGGCTGCAATGTTGTCATGTAACACTGGCTAAGGGAACACTTTACTGCTCTCCAGCTAACAGAATGGAGCGAAAATGCACTGCACTGGATCAGAAATTACTTCACATTTGTAAATGCTTCATAGAACTTGCTGATGCACCAGACAGGATTATGGTGTAATTATTGCAGTTGCTAATGATCTTTAGGCACAGCTGCATGCAAAATTAAAACACTTTCTGGGTTTCCCCCTATAGCTGATGTTCTGGTTTATATGTTGTAACTTGCAATGATATTCCCATGTAATATGTCATTCCAGGCAAGCTTCTTTCATTTTGTGGTCGTTATCCTTTCCCTGTGACCCAGAACAGTTTTATGAGTAATTAGATCCGTAAATTACAAATCCAATCCCACACGTTAAAATTAAACTCCGTCTTAACATTTTACACTCCTTTGGTGAGTTTGTGCTAAAGGTCCTTTATCTGGAATCAACCACCTCCCCGCTCTGTGCTAAGGGAGCGGAATGGAATAATTTCAGAGTAGCTCAAATGAATGCCTCAAAAGTAATGTCACTTTTGCAGCTGATGTTTTTGCAGAAGAAAAGGCCTGGAGAGCCTGAGGCACAGAGACCTACTTTTGTATTCGTATGGTTAATTATATATCTTGTCAGCTGGAGCAGAGCTCTGATCTCCGACAACAAAATAAGCCACAGAAGGATCTGAATTTTGGAACACACATTTGGTTACATAAATGTGGATAAGCTTTAAAAATTGAATAACTTATGTAAGTAAAAGAGGCTCTAAATCTTTGTGTTGAAAGGAAGCGCTACACTGTTGCTTCAAAGGCGAGTCACTTACTGTGATTTTAATTTTAAAATGTCTTGCTTTGTCAGTTATAAATGAGAGCCGTTTTAATGTGCTTCTTCGAACCAATTCTGCTTCATACTTAAGCTGATGTCTACATGGTGTTCATCCTTGGTATTGCTTGTTCTTACAATGGTGCACCTGATTCCTGCAATGGTTCCATATATTGCTGGATACCTACCTATCTATCTAGGGACACGAGTGGCGTTGTGGGTTAAACCACAGAGCCTAGGACTTGCCAATCAGAAGGTCGGTGGTTCAAATCCCCACGACGGGGTGAGCTCCCGTTGCTCAGTCCCTGCTCCTGCCAACCTAGCAGTTTCAAAGGACATCAAAGTGCAAGTAGATAAATAGGTACCACTCCAGCGGGAAGGTAAACGGCGTTTCCGTGCGCTGCTCTGGTTCGCCAGAAGTGGCTTAGTCATGCTGGCCACATGACCCGGAAGCTGTACGCCGGCTCCCTCGGCCACTAAAGCGAGATGAGCGCCGCAACTCCAGAGTCGGCCACGACTGGACCTAATGGTCAGGGGTCCCTTTACCTTTACCTTATCTATCTATCTATCTATCTATCTATCTATCTATCTATTGTATATTGCTGGAGACACTGGATAGTACCTCCTGATCACCTGTCTCCCTGGCTTGGAAGTTTCTGCCCAGCGCTTCTGCCCTGTGGTCATTGAGAGCTGGCAGTTCCACAATCCTGACTTAGGAGATATAATAAACAAGGAGACAATGTCTGCCTCTGAGAATTCCTTAAACTGTGACCCTTGAACAGTTAAGGATTATATGCCCATTATACTGTAGATTGTCTTAACTCTAAGGGAAGGGTGTAGAACTTTACTCCGCCTGAGGGATGCAGTCCTTCTTGTCCAACCCTTTAGGGCCTACATGCCAGCGGTGGATATAGCCAAGGGAAGCGGGTGGCGCTGTGGTCTAAACCACTGAGCCTCTTGGGCTTGCCGATCGGAAGGTCGGTGGTTCAAATCCCCATGATGGAGTCCTGCTGCCCTGTCCCAGCTTCTGTCAACCCAGCAGTTTGAAAGCATACCAGCGCAAGTAGATAAATAGGTACTGCTGTGGCGGGAAGCTAAATGGCGTTTCCGTGCACTCTGGTTTCCGCCACGGTGTCCTGTTGCACCAGAAGTGGTTTATTCATGCTGGCCAGATGACCCGGAAAGCTGTCTGTGCACAAACGTCAGCTGAAAGTGAGGTGAGTGTTACAACCCCATAGTCAGCTTTGACTGAACTTAACCGTCTAGGAGTCCTTTACCTTTACTTTACCTTATAGCCAAGGAAAAATGGATGTGGCTACTACCTCCTGCATATACAGGAGCCTCCCCACTTGCTTGCGATCAGCCCACACACGACTGCTGATGTGTGTGCGCTGGTTTTGGTGCTGGAAGGAGACAGGGCAGGAGTGGAGCAGGCTGCAACTGACTTGCATGTGTCCCGCTGTCACACATGGCGACCCGGAACAGAACACCCATGTATGCAAGGATTCCCCTGTACTCACATGATTACATATGGTGGCCACCACCACGAAACTGCCCCTACATATTTTCTTCTTGAAGTCATGCTCTCCCTGCCCCCCCCCACTGTCCTGAGCTATTTTGTGTGGTGCTAGCAACCTTGCAAGGAGGGCTTGATGAGAATCTCTGCTCAGCTGTGAAGACTCAACAGGTACCAGTCACTTTTATTCAGCCTAACATTCCTCACAGGGTTGCTGTGAAGAGGAAGTGGGATAACCCTGTGTAGGCCACTCGGATGAAGGGCAAGTTATAAACCTTTTATTTTAAAAAACAATTGGGTTGAATCCGATATCTGCCATGTGCAAGGTGAAGTATGGGGACTCTAAAACAGAGCTGCAGTAGATAGGGGGCACTGTTTAAAAATCAGAAGGAACCAGAAGAACAAATCCACCATTGGGTATTACTTCTAAAGTCATTGCTACCCCACCCCTAATAATAATAATAATAATAATAATAATAATAATAATAATAATAATTTTTATTTATACCCCGCCTTCCCCAGCTAAGAGCGGACTCAGGGCAGCTAACACCAAGTATAAAACAATTGATTAAAATACAACTTAAAAACAAGATTAAAATACAACATTAAAATGCAGCCTCATTTCAGTAGAAACTCAAATCAAAAACTTTTGGGGGATGAAAACGTCAAATCTTCACCAAGGCCAACTATCCAGACTGGTTCTACATGGGCCAGAAAAAAGCCAGGGAAGTCCCCAAATAGGAGTTTCATCACAGAAGGAAAAAGGAAAGAGGGGGAGGGGATCAGGTTGATTCCAAGCCAAAGGCCAGGTGGAACAACTCTGTCTTACAGGCCCTGCGGAAAGAAATCAGATCCTGCAGGGCCCTGGTCTCATGATACAGAGCGTTCCACCAGGCTGGAGCCAGTGTTGAAAAGGCCCTGGCTCTGGTTGAGGCTAATCTGACTTCCTTAGGGCCCGGGTCCTCTAGGGTGTTGCTTTTTATGGACCTTAAGGTCCTCTGCGGGTCATACCGGGAGAGCTGTTCCATTCATGGGGTGTGGCTGCCGTCACATGCTGACAGCTTCTAGGAGCCACTGGTGAGAGCTGAGTGCAGGGTTGACACCAAAGGTGGACAAACTATCTCAGAAGCAGCATGAAGAAACCACCAGAGAAACTACCCCTCCTTTAACACCCCATACACAGGCTGGTGAGGGTAGCCAATGGGGTCTCAAAACCTCAGTGAGTTAGGGACTTCCCCTCCGTGTGAAGACAGGCTCTGGCAGGTTGAGTGGGCGAGACCAATGGTGGGCCCAGTGGTCAAAAAGGCAGGTTCTGCATGTGCTGTAGAGGGAGTTGAGGGGCAGAAGGGGCTCATCAACATGGGAAGGGAGCTCCTCTAGGTGAAGGAAAACTCTGGTCCTAACCTCTACTGTCTTGTGAGAGAAGAAGGGGCTAAGGAGTAAACCCTACACAAATCCAGAGTGGAGCTCCTAATATGGTTAAATGGCTCCTTGTACGCCTCCTTTGGCAACTCTTGCAGCCAAGCTGGTGCCAAAAGTAGTGCTCTCATTTCTTTTGGACCATATCAGCGAGGCTAAGAGGGAGTCTTGTCATCTGGGCAGCCTGGGACCTCCATACACACTTCTGGCCCCACACCCTAGGGAGGTCACTTCAGTGCTGCTAACGCAACAGTTTGACTTCACCCCCAGAGGCTCCCTCTGTTGTTTTTTTGAGACTGACAAATGCCAACAACCCCCAGGGCTGTGTACTCTCTCCTGTGCAAACTCCTCATTCTACAACACTCATCCCAGGCTATCATCTCTCCATGAAATGAGCAGTATATACAGGTAAGCCTTGCTTTTGAGTGCTACTGATTTCATCTCGACTTAAAACTGCTTGACACGTTTTTCTGGACGTACACCCCTTCCAGCAAGATGCTGCAATGGCTAATGAAGCTATCTCCCCCCAAAATGATGAATTAAACATTATAGATATGGAGCGCTATGGAGAACAGCAGAAAACTCATCTGTTCTTGTCGCAGGGGAAGCCCTGCTGCTATGTGACAGTACAAACACAATAGTGGTGGTTACCTGCTGGTTTGTGAACAGCGTGCTGTTCTTTTGATTGTCAAGCAGGCTGCACTTGTGCATCCATGTTGTTTTTTTTATAATACCCACCACGGTGTGGGATTTGTGTGTGTGTCACGCACACGCACACACATTTAAAAGACACCTGCTACACAGCCTCTGAGGGATGCAGGCACAGCATTTGATTTCTCATTGTATGATTACTCCACACTTGGCAACTGGCAGCTGAATATCTGACTGATTACAATGAAAGGCATTGTGCTTTGCGAGGATACTGAAGTTCTGCCTGCGATGGCTCATTCATTGGTACATACAGGTTGCTGCTGTGTCACAAACCAGTCTGTGGCCTAGCTGCCTTTTTCACTGAGCCAGAGGGGCAAATTCTAGATTGGCTCCGGATGGGTGCAATTGACACTGATCAGCAGCTGGCTTCTTCTGCAAATATATATAAAGTCAGTCTGCATGTTTTCAATCTTTGCATAGGGAAATGTCCACAATGCTAACGGTCTAAGTGGAGAATCATGCTCCTAACTCAGACACAAACAGGATTGTTGGCAATGTGAGAAGGGCCAGCACACCGTTTCCCCAAACTTGTGTCCCCAGCTGTTTTAGGACTACAGTTCCTATCATCCCTGATCACTGGGGTGCAATGGTGTCCACCTGAGAGGTGTCAGAACTGAGTTTCAGTGATTTCCGGCGGGGGAAGCGGAAGCCTGGGTTGTACTGCTAGTAAAGGTAAAGGGACCCCTGACCATTAGGTCCAGTTGTGACCGACTCTGGGGTTGCGGCGCTCATCTCGCTTTATTGGCCGAGGGAGCTGGCATACAGCTTCCAGGTCATGTGGCCAGCATGACTAAGCCGCTTCTGGTGAACCAGAGCAGCGCACGGAAACACCGTTTACCTTCCCACCAGAGCGGTACCTATTTATCTACTTGCACTTTGATGTGCTTTCGAACTGGTAGGTTGGCAGAAGCTGGGACCAAGCAACGGGAGCTCACCCCATCACGGGGATTCGAACTGCCGACCTTCTGATCGGCAAGTCCTAGGCTCTGTGGTTTAACCCATAGCGCTATCCGCGTTTCTGGGGTTGTACTGCTAATCATTAAAAAAAATCTTATTGCTTGATAGTGCTAGTTGAAACCAGTGGGGCATTCGCTACACAGTCCAACAAAATGTTGATAGCATTCTGCATTGCTAGACCAGCTTTAGGCACCCAGAATAGAATTCCACTACATGGCAAAAAAAAAAGCTTAGGTATCAATAGTTATGCATAGGAGGCTGACTTTTATCAAATCATTGCTCCTTCCAACTTAGTATTGTCCACACTCTCCAGTGTTTCAGACAGGGGACATTTCCAGCTCTGGCTGGCAATGCCAGGACTGCTACAGTGTCAACAAAGCCCTGCAACTCATTGTAAGCCATTTCGCTCTGTGCAGATCAGTTTGCAGGTACGCTCTGTTGTTGAAGTACTTCATACAGTGACAGCATTAATCTGGCTTAAGGTGGATGAGACGTATTCTTCCAGACTAGCTAAATGGGGCTCGACAGACTGACAGCAAAAATCCTCAGGCAAACGTACCTAAGAAAGCATGTGGAACAACTCTGAGGTCACATCTTTACCCCAGACTTAACAAAGGGGAAACAACGTTTTAGAAATACTTGTGTGATACGATGGAATCCAAGGCAATAAAAGGAACTAAACACAAAGCAAAGGGGCCATTGCAACCTCTTTGAACATCTCAGGGGGTCTGTGCCAAAGACACCCTTTTTAAAAAAATCTGTTTAATGTTTTACTGTGCTTATTGCTCTTAAATGTTCTTTGGATACTTTTAATTGCATTTAAATGCTTTAAATAGCATTTGTTTTTTCACTGGTGTGTTTGCCACCCTAGACTCCTTTGAGAGGAAGGGCAAGATATAAATTTAATAAATGAAAACGTAATAAAGGGGGGGGGGAGTATCATCACCCAGAATACATGCCATGATTTTTGCATGCATTTGATACCAGCAGGTAAATGGAAGTGCAACATAGTGGCTAGGAGAATGAACCCTGAGTCAAAAAATCACTGGTTCAAATCTCAGTCTACCTAAGAGGTCACTAGGTTTCTGTAGGCAAGGCTCAGCTCCCCATCTACACAAAGGGCACAATAAATTATGGTATACATGAGAAGGTTGATGGAGGGTTACGGAGACAGCACATCTGTGAGACGCAGAGATGGGCAAGCCTGCTGAGGCTCTCCTCAGATTGGTGCAGGAGCCCTCCAAAGTTTCCTGGAAATAAATGGTGAAATCACAAATAAATTTCCCCAGCCGTTCCTAAACTATCTCGGAAAAGCGTCGCTCTATCCCCTTGCCAGCACCCCACCGCTGCCCGGGCACACGCTTTTCATCTTCCCTTCCTCTAGCATCACTGGCAACCTGGAAGAAAAGCAAAAGAGAGCATTTCCCCCCTACTTTTTTGTCACCCTGACGAGATTCTGTGGGAGTATAGGTGACCCGTTGAAAGCAGGAGATGGTGGGGAAGCCAGAAATTCCATTCCAGCTTGGATTTTGATCTAAGCCAAAGAAAAATGTCAAGGCGTGTAGCATTCTCTCCTCTGTTTGAAGACAGTTCCCTGAGGCCCCAAAGTCTGACAATCTTTCCTGGCATGTCTAATGTGACAAACCTTTTAAAGGCAAGACTGGAGAACCTCTTTTTGGCCTGAGCAGTGGGTGTGGCCCAGAGTCTCATGCATACCATATATATGCACACACACACACACACACACACACACACACCCTTCCTTGCACATCCATGCAGATCAGCTGAGGAAGGGAGAGGGAATTAATATGCCTTAGCTCCTTCTCATGTTATCAGTCTGATAGCCCAGTTCTGAGCAGTTGCACCAGCATATAAATGCTGGGGATGGGTTAGAGCAGATGTTGTTGGGACTCCAGCTCCCATTAGCTCCAGCCAGCATGGCCAATGGTTGGTGGTGATGGGAGCTGCCATATAACAACATCTGGAGAACCACAGGTTAGCCACCTTCAAATATCTTGAGAGCTGTGCACTGGCACTGCATCGTAATAATACTGGAGAGTTGGTGCAATGGTGGGCATTGTAAGGAGGCCACTGTAAGAATTCACAGAGATACTCAAAAGCAAATGCTTATGTTTGGGTTGCAGATCCTTTTTTCCTCCTACGAAAAACCCAAACTGCCTCAAGACCAGTCTGTGAACAGTCTAATAATTTTAGAGCACAACATTTGTATGACTAGCTTTGGGGCATGCATCTCTGATAGGAAAATCCAAAAGTCATGAGTGGATAGGAGGAAGCTAAGGAAATGTCAAGAAGCAGCAAAGCTTCAGATACGAGGAAGTGTTTTGATCTTGATTTATAGGAGCAGATTGCCAATGCCCCGTGCCTCTCTTAGACAAATTTAAACAGACCTGATAATCAAGAGCTCTCTCTTTCTAATTACATTATGTTGAAAGCATTTGTAAATTCAGCACTGAGAGGTCAGATGAAAGCCATTCATATTAGGGAAAACCCATATTAGAATACAACAAGGTATAGAGACTCTCTCTATCTTTTTAAAGGAACTAATTAATACGGTGCTCTCAGTCAGAAAATATAGCACGGCTCCTTTTCAAGGTTGTTAAGGGGGAGAAAAAAAGAGCTGTGCCTTGTATGGTAATTTCATTTGTTCAAAGGCTCCATTCAATTGGTTTTATTCACAAAGAAAACTAGTTAAACTTACTTATTTCTGCAAAAAGCTCTTAGATGGCAAGGGGGTGCCACATTAAGGTTTCCTGTGGATCAGGTCCTTAGCATTTTGCAGCAAACAGAAGACATCCATGTAAGACATTCATAGTTAGATATCTTTTATGATATACTCCTTATTGCAGTGGTCACATCTGACCATCACACTAAACCACGGTTTACTGTGACCTGAAAGAGCAGAGACAAGCTGCAACAAGCCTTGAGCTTTCATGCTCCTCTCTCCTCGTGTATGGCTGGTTGGAAGCTTTTAATTTCACTTTTGGTTAATCTAGTTTGCCGTGTTGCCTGGTATGACAAATTGTGGCTAATGTAAACATCTGGTCAGCTTCCAACAAGCCTACTCCAAACTGAAGCTGGCTTGTTAAAACTAATTCATACCTAAGGTGAACCATAATTCCAGGAGCAAATGGCACAGCAAACTTTAGTCAACTAAAAGTGGAAGCAAAGGTTTTCACACTCCTCCTCTTGGCTGCATGGGAAGAAGAGAGGGGAGATGAGGAGCATCCGAGTTCGAGGCTTCCTGCAACTTGTCCCTGCTCATATATGTCACGCAGAACCATAGTTTAGTGTGATGTGCGAATGCAGCCAATGGCTTTAAGAAAATAAAACAAGTGTGACCCTCTATTAGTCTCCCCCCTCTTGCCCTACCCCAGTGTCTTTAACAACAGCTTGACATTCAGAAGTTTAACAGGCAAAACTTTTTTTTATTGTATGGAGATAAGAGATAGGACCCTTGTACCTACGAGACCGCCTCTCCCGGTATGCCCCATGGAGCTCCTCAAGGTCCATAAAAAGCAACACCCTAGAGGTCCTGGGCCCTAAGGAAGTTAGATTAGCCTCAGCCAGAGCCAGGGCTTTTTCAACACTGGCTCTGGACTGGTGGAACACTCTGTCTCATGAGACCAGGGCCCTGCAGGATCTCATTTCTTTCCGCAGGGCCTGTAAGACAGAGTTGTTCCACCTGGCCTTTGGCTTGGAATCAATTTGATTCCCTCCCCCTTTTTCTTTTTTCCTTTCTCCTCCTGTGATGAGGCTGCATTTTAATGTTTTAATGTTGCATTTTAATCTTGTTTTTAAGTTGTATTTATTCAACTTGTTTTTATTATTGGTTGTTAGCCGCCCTGAGCCTGGCCTTGGCTGGGGAGGGCGGGGTATAAATAAAATGTATTATTATTATTATTATTTATTATAGCTTAATTTGTTTGATCTCTTCATGCTGGGTTGCTGTTTAAGGAATAGGAACAAGTCCAGTAAAAGAGGTGGCAGCTCTACCTTGAAGCTGACACTAATTTCCATCTCAGCCACACCAATTTAAATTTGGCCTACTGATTAATCAACTAAAGCGCTCAGTGATGGATCTACTATTCAGATCTTGCCGTCTTCTTCTACACAGCCCTGGAAGGCAAAGTTTTCCTGTCTTAAACGCTTGCAGCTCTCTTGAAGCAAGATAAATATATCCTTCCATCCTTGCACTTTGTAAAACAAGACTGCCCTCTGTTGGCCGTCAACTCAGAAGCAGTTCAAGCTCACAGCAGCTAGCTGAAAGGCCTATGTTGGAATATAAAGCTGCATTACAAATGGTTTCTTTTCTTAGCGAACTGTACAGAGAAAGCAAACAATCCCACAACGCTTTTCTAAAAGTGCACTTACCTGTTCATAATAGTGGATATTATTTTCTGCAACATCGCCAAAAGCCAGTTTCATATCAAGACGCATACTTTCTTTCCATCTATCCCAGTCAGCTTTCAGAGCATTATTGGCGCACTCTACTTTATCTTCAAGTTTTCCAATCTCTTCTGATAGCTAGACCAAGCAAACAAACAAACAAAATCAGACTAAGTAACACAGGGTGAAATTCCAATCAAGAACTCGGTAATGGAAACTTTGTTAGCATCAAAGCAAGGTCTTTGTTGCATTTCTAGAATGCAGATGCAGGCAAGAGACCTTTTCTCTTGGCTGCAATTTTTAAAAATCCAACCTATTTTCCAGCAAACTCGGGTTCTTTGGAAGGTCAGTGGTGGCTGACAAGTTTCCCTGAAGAACTGCTTGCCTATTGCATTCATGAATGAATTTCATGTCACTCGTAGCTGTGGTATAATGAGTTAGCTTTGTTCCAGGTAACACAAAGCAACTTATACCCAACAATAATAAAAACCTAAGAACACAGCAGTGCAGGAGGAAAGAGAGATAAAAATACAGCTAAACAAAAAGGCAGGACCAAATATCCTGTCCCACTAAAAGAGGAAGTGCCACTTTTCATGCTAAGTACCAAAAGCACAAGGAAAAAATAAAGAGTCTTTGGTGCCTCTGCTTTACTGGTAATTATTTTTTTTTCCCCTGGAGTGTAATTCAAACCTTCAGTAGCCATCATTCTTCCCTTAATGTGCCCCTCAACTTTCCCCTTTCTCTTCCAGGCTGTGGCACTAACTGGAAGAGAGAAAAGGGTCACGTTCTCTGAGCAGGGGGCAGCCACATGGCCAGTTTTCAAAGTGTGCCACAGCTGAGTGAGTTTGGACATTAAAATGTTCTTTTTTTAAAAAAAGAAATAAATGAAGAGGACCCCTGTGCCACCTCCTCTCATTGCAAATTAAAGAACGCTCCCCAAATCTTTGCCCCAAACATAAACTTTTTACCCTGAGATCTTGAGGGGAGGCTTTCCTGTCCCAGCAGAGAATGTTCACTAGACTTCTTATCGTTTTCTCTCATTTCCCTCCCTCTTCTTTCCTCCTCCTTTCCTTTATGTTTTTAATTTATTTAGATTAACATTGGATAAGAAAGATATCTGGTATTAAGTTTTATACCTATCTCTCTTTATAAGTTCTAATAAAATTTATTCAAAAAAAGGTGAATGTTCACTACAGACTAATACACACACATACAAACTTCTTTCTTTCTCCGACTGCTTCAACAAGAGTGGAAACCAAAGACATGTTGACACCTTCAAACAATTCTGGAATGGAACTTGTGCATCCCTAAGATTTCTGGCTGTTGTAGAAAAAAAAGCTGAGGACTCATGTTGGCCTCAGGTTTCCATGACAGGGATATATATCCTTGAGAGCTTATAGTGGTCATTGGGAGTAACAATCATTACATTTTTGCTGTGCTGACTTCCTGGTGGTTGCCATAGTAACCACCTTGCTGCACCCGCTGCAGACAAGCTGCAGTTACTTCCTGGTCGATTCTTGTTTACTGCCATGTAAGTTGACCAGGGCTCAGGTACCTTTAGCAGGGATGTGTAAGAGGCATTTTTTGGGCAGGCGACACTTGTTGTGTCATAAAGCCGCTGAGATGAAGTGCACCTGCCAAAATGCTGTCTTCTCCACAGCTGTTCAAAGTATGAAAGCCCAGTTCCCATTCCTATTCTACCCAATTGCTTTATTACAGTGTCAGGTTGTATCTATCATCTATCTATTTATCTACAATATATATCTATAATTTTTATTCAGTTTTCTGTTTTACAATTTAAAATATTCATTTAAACATCCTTAAAAATATCAGTGACTTCCTTTCTTCTCTTTCCATGGTTCATTTTGCATATCATAAATCCCTGCATACTTTACAAAAACTAAACCATTCAGTATTCCATTACTGCATCATCAAAACTTATTTACATTGTTGTATTTATCTTAATGCTGCCAATGTTTTCAGGTATACATATTTTCCCCCCATATATTCAATAAACGTTTTCCAATCTTCTCTAAATGTTATGTTCTTCTTGTTCTCTTATTCTATATGTTAAGTCTGCAAACTGTGCATATTCTGTCAGCTTAAGTTGCCATTCTTCTTTAGTTGGGACCTCACTCGTTTTCCATTTTGGGGTTAACAAAACATTGGCCGCAGTAGTAGCATACATAAATAACCTTTTTTGACACCTGGGAATTTCAGTCTTAATTATCCCCAACAAAAAGGACTCTGGTTTTTTTTTGGGGGGGGGGGACTTTTAAACATTTTTTTACAATTCATTATGGATTATTTCCCAATACCCTTTTACCCTTTTACAAGTCCAGGGTTTTGTATCTGCCTCTTAGGTTGATGGGACTTGGGAGTTCCACATCTGGAGGGCCACAGGTTGCCCATCTTTGGTATGCACCAATGTTTCCCAAACTTGGGTCTCCAGCTGTTTTTGAACTACAGTTCCCATCATCCCTGACCACTGGTCCTGGTAGTTAAGGATGATGGGAGTTGTAGTCAAAAACAACAACTGGAAACCCAAGTTTGGGAAACACTAGTATACACAATACTGAGCCAATTGAAGGGCCAACTGGGTATAAAGCAGCTCCATCGGTTCCTCCTTAGTTTCACCCCTTCAGTTCTGTCTTCATGTAACCCTGAGAGGTAGGTTGGGCTGAGAGAATGGGTCTAATCCAGGATTTCCTATTGACCTTCTTGGCTGAGTAGGACTGTGGACCCAGATCTTTTTGGTCCAAGTCCCACGTTCTTTCTGAACTTGCAAACCTGCTCTTAAAGGAGCCGATTGCAAGGAAGGGTCAGGAAAGGGGCAATTCACAGCTGGCCCAAATTATGCGCTTCAGCTTGGAAGCTATTGCTATTTATCACATGGCCTATCAGATGAGATCCATTTTTCAGTCTTAGAAACGACTGCCAAAACTGTTCCCGGTCCCAATCTCCTCCCTCTTATCAGGCGTCACAGCTGACTTCCCTGCAGGAACAAATCGATGTCCCCTATAAAGACCAAGCGTTCTAGCCTTTTGTCAGCGCTAATGACCTGTTTGTGATTCCATTTCTCTGGCACAACTACTCTTCGCATTACATTCACGCTCATGCCACTCACTGTCAACATAATTTCTGGGTATCCGCTTTCAAAGGCAAGCTCAACCGGACAGTTGTGTTGTGCTCATTAAGGTCGATGAAAGCGCTGCCTACGAGAGAGAAAGGGGTGGGGAGTTGCTGAACAGAGCCAGATTCCGTTCCGCACAGCAACCAAGCATTTACAGAACCAGTTTTCGTGTACCCCAAACAAAGTCTTTCCTCGTCATGTGACTGTGGTACGGATTGGGAAGTCGCTGCCACAATTTTATTAGGAGGCTGTTCACAGCCTCAGCTCCCCATCTGCAAATTCATGGATAAGAAGAATCATTTTTATATGCAGTGCTTTTTTTCTAAAAAAAATAATGTTTAGGGGTACTCTCATTTTTCTGTTTGTTTGTTTGTTTGTTTGTTTGTTTGTTTGTGTCTGACTCTTCGTGACTCCATGGACCAGAGCATGCCAGGCACTCCTGTCTTCCACTGCCTCCCGCAGTTTGGTCAAACTCATGTTAGTAGCTTCGAGAACATTATCCAACCATCTTGTCCTCTGTCGTCCCCTTCTCCTTGTGCCCTCCATCTTTCCCAACATCAGGGTCTTTTCCAGGGAGTCTTCTCTTCTCATGAGGTGGCCAAAGTATTGGAGCCTCAGCTTCAGGATCTGTCCTGCCAGTGAGCACTCAGGGCTGGTTTCCTTAAGAGTGGATAGGTTTGATCTTCTTGCAGTCCATGGGACTCTCAAGAGTCTCCTCCAGCACCTACTCATATTGAAATACTGCCCCTCAATGAGGCCAAACTTAAATTCACAAAATGTTTAGGGGTATGCGTACCCCAGCAAAAAGCACTGTTTATATGATTTGTTGGGGGCAGGAGTGAAAAAAAGACACCCCATATTTTGAATACTTGAAAGACAGATAGACAACACAGAATCATAGAACTGTAGAGTTGGAAGGGATCCAAGGGTCATCTAGTCCAATCCCCTGCAATGCATGTGGCTCTCCAGATGTTGTTGGACTCCAGGTCTCATCAGCCCTATCCATCATGGCCAGAGAGGACATGTCAGGGACTGGCTGGATGAGGAGAAGTGGTGGAAGCCGCCTGGCCAAGAGTCCCATGAGGCTGCCTCCCAGGAAGAACTTGGAGAGTAGCTTGATCCCAGCCACTGGCCAGACAAGAAGCAATTTCACAAAGCTTTGTTTTCTCCTCCCTGTCAGAAAAGAACACACAGATGCCACAACACTAAAAGCAGCCTCCAGTCATAGCATGCTTTGCTGCAGAGGCAAAGCTTCTAAAGGTGGCACAATTTGGCCTCTGCCATCAGAGAAGAGACCAAAGGCTGCAAGAATAATAATAATAATAATAATAATAATAATAATAATAATAATTTATTTATACCCCGCCCATCTGGCTGGGTTTCCCCAGCCACTCTGGATGGTTTCCAACACACTATTAAAATACAGTAATGCATCAAACATTAAAAGCTTCCCTAAACAGGGCTGCCTTCAGATGTCGTCTAAAAGTCTGGTAGTTGTTGTTCTCTTTGACATCTGGTGGGAGGGTGTTCCACAGGGCGGGTGCCACTACCAAAAAGGCCCTCTGCCTGGTTCCCTGTAACTTGGCTTCTCACAGTGAGGGAACTGCCAGAAGGCCCTCGGCACTGGACCTCAGTGTCCGGGTAGAACGATGGGGGTGGAGACACTCCTTCAGTGCCTCCCGGGAAGAATGCCATGGCAAGCAGGAGACCACCCTGGCTCCAGCCATCATCTTGAAAATGAATGGTGCAGGCAATTTCCTTTCCTCATCCCAGCCAACTCCAGCCACCCTCATCCACAAATCTAAGTGACCGAGGTGAGATTTACGGGAGACGTGGTTTTGTCATTGCTTCAGAACCATACAGAGCTTCATACGGTAAAGCAACTGGAAAGAAATCAGCAGCCTACTTGTGAACAGAAGAGTAGGCATCTGATTGGCCACTGTGTGAACAGAACACTGGACTAGATAGGCTTTGGATTCTGATGTTCTTGTATGGTCATCACGCCTAACGTGAGCAAGATGCGTTCTGCTTTTTTAACCGATTGAAGCTCTGCTGTCTAACGACCGTGTGACAGGCAGGTGTTGACAGGTGAAGCTTTTACTCACTGGAGAATGACTGTCCCTCAACTACTCTGTGATTGTGAGTTCCATTGCATGCTATCATGATTAAGACAATTTGGTGGTTTTGTGGAGCTTGATCACTGACCGCTCGTTTCACTCTGCTCCCATCTCTGCATTCCCTGAGAAATTTTGCAAGTCACAACAAAACTCTTTTACATTCTCCCTTATTCCTCAGATGTCTGACCTGAGCAGCAACCTGCAGATTCATGACACAATTTCGATTTAGACAAATGCCAGCGACAACTCAGGGCTACAATGGAACACCCTTGAAGAAATGATACTTGTTTTTACCCGAACTCATTTTGCTTCCCTTGCCATTTTTCAGATGTTTTGTCCAAGCAGGAATCTCCAAACTACCTTAGGACAAATCGGATGACAATTCTATTAGAAAGCGTTTTGCGTGTGTGCGCACGCTCAAGATAAAAATCTGAAATACAAGACCAGTACTGTGACATCATCTCTCTTTCGAGCACAGACTAGCAAACTGTACCTCCTGAATTGTTTTCCCCACAATAAAAGATGTAGTTGCTGGAGTGTAGAACTTAATTGGAAGCCAAGGTTCAAATCCATTGTTCCTGACATGTGATTAGCTTGCAAACATGCGGGGAGGAAGAGGGATGGCAGCTAAGAGGGGAAGTTTGCATTCTTTTTCCAGACACCATCTGTAGATGGGAGGGGGCAGTTTCCAACGATGTGCTTTTGCTATTTTTTTAAAAAAATAATATTTATTGATTTTCCAACCATTTAAACACAATAGAACAGAAAAAACAAAAAAGAAAAAGAAAAAGCAAAGAAAAGAAAGGAAAAAACATAAGATTAACAAAACAAGACGCAAACCATTTAAAACACAAAACAATTTCAATATCTTAACTTTCATTCCCTTGTTTCCACGACCTCCTCACACCTCCCTTTTTGTATTCCACTTCTATTAATTGTTTCAGCAATTCCTTTCCATCTTCCTCTGTTTTCTATCCTATAATTATCTTAACATATTCTAATCTTATTTTTCCCTTTAATACTCTATTAGTCTATTTATACTTAATTCCTTATAGCATTTCTACTAAAGCCATATAACTTCATTCCAACATTTTTCTAACATTCATTATTTTTACAATATTTCTATAAATAGTCTTAAACTTTTTCCAGTCTTCTTCCACCGTCTCTTCTCCCTGGTCTCGGATTTCTGCCAGTCGTTTCCGCCAATTCCATATAGTCCATCAACTTCATCTGCCATTCTTCCCGGATAGATAAATCTGGTGTCTTCCAGTACCTCACAATGAGTATTCTTGCTGCTATTGTTGCATATGTGAAAAGAGTTCTATCCTTCTTTAACACCAATTGGCCGACCATGCCCAGGAGAAAGGCCTCTGGTTTCTTCAAAAAGGTATATTTAAATACCTTTTTCATTTCATTATGAATCATCTCCCAAAGTGTCTTAATCCTTGGGCATGTCCACCAGGGGTGAACTCTAATCCTCAAATTCGTCTGTTTTTCTTTGAGTTCAGTCATAGTAAGCGTCAACTTATATTCATCAAGTTGCTTCTGTAGGGCTGGGGCTCTCTTGCTCTTTCTCTCCAGTTGTGTTTCTTTACATTCAGCAACAACAGCTTTTTCCCTGGCTTCCTCCGCAGTTTGCCGCATCGAAATAGGTTCCTGTGTCAATTTCTGGGTAGTTTCTATATTAGTATTATTTATACTTTCTATATTTAAGTTAGTTTTAATGATTTCGCATTTATCGTGTCCATTTTCCTGTGAAGCTGATCCAATGAATCATTTATCTTAAATAATGCCGCCACTAGAGCCTCTTCTGTCAACATTTCTCTTGGTTTTACATATACTGGTACAAAGGCTCAGAAAAAGCAGGGGGGCCTGGTGGTGGACCTCTCCTGGATTGTTGCCAAGTCCTCCCAGACCTTAATGTTTTGTCAGCAGTTGACTGGTCTATTTTTCCTCTTCCATTAACCATAACACTTAAAAGCTTCAAGGTCAGTCCCAGAGTCTCATGGTTTTTAACTTGCAGCTGGAAATTTCCCTAACCCAACTCTTGTAAAGCAACCGGTTTCAAAGGCTTCCACTAGGGGGAAACAGTTTCTATTTATAATAGTCAATAGTATCCTCTTTTAAACAATCCGAAAATTAGTTTCAAGTTAGTTTCAATTTTCAGTTACTTTTACTCCTTTTTAAAGCAGCCGGAAACAGTAGAAACAATGTATTTCTTTTATTTAACTAGCTATCAATGAACGTTCTAAATGCTGTCAATGAACATTCCAAAGTATGTCAGTCCTACTAGCAGCCCGTTTCCAGGGTCAGAGCGGCGGTGTTTTAGATCTCTTCGCTCTCTCCTGCAGGCATATTCAGTCCACAACTTCCCCCCCTCTTCTCCTGCCTACAAAGGGGGGTTTTGTTCTTTACCGATGGAAATTTAATCTTTTACAAAAGACTTTCCAGGACTCCAGCTTGCAACTTTATTGCCTCAGTCTATTTACAAAAGGGGGAGGCAGACTTCCTGTTTTGAACCTCCCCGCTTCGATACCAAATTATACTTTTAGAAATCCAATTCTCCCGTTTCAGCTCTACTCACGGGTAACTACTTTAAGGTCAAATTGTCCACAGGAAAAAGTCAGCGCTCTCCGGCAACGGCTGTGCGGCTTCGCTCCGTGGAAGAAGCAGACGATTCGAAGCACTGCGCCACTCACCCCACGTCACTCCGGAGCCCCGAAAACGGGTTTCCCCGCGAGTAGGGGAGGCGCAGAAGGTGCCTGCCGAATCCCACGTTCACAGGCTTCTCCCGCCTGTGATTTTTACGGGTCTCCGCCTTCGCTATGGCGGCCAGACCCAATTTCCCACGGGGCAAATTCCTCCCGGTCAGAGGAATTCCGCCATTGCCGATGGCGCCAACCCGGAAGTCTTCCAACGATGTGCTTTTGCATCCTTCTACAAAATGGGACTTAACAGATATCATCACTCAAGAGGTTTGTAAGATGCCATGGTGAAAGGAGAAAGTGGTCTGCTAAGTATGTTCAAGATCAGCACACCAAATTACTACAGTGGTACCTTGGTTCTTAAATGCCTTGGTACTCAAACAACTTGGAACCCAAACACTGCAAACCTGGAAGTAAGTGTTCTGGTGTGCGAACTTTTATCAGAAGCCGAATGTGCTCCGTTTTGAGTGCCATGCTTCCATTTTGAGTGTTACGCTGTCTGTCTGTTTTTGCTCTTTATTTTGCGTTTTTATTTTTGCGGCTCTTTTTTGTTTTGTTTTTGTGACTGTGTGGAACCCAGTTCAGCTACTGATTGATTGTGTGACTGCAGTACATTGTGTATTGCTTTTGTTTTATGGATCAATGGTCTCGTTAGAGAGTAACATTCATGTTAAATTGCTGTTTTAGGGGTTGTTTTTAAAAGTCTGGAATGGATTAATCCATTTTGGATTACTTTCTATGGGAAAGCGCACCTTGGTTTTGGAACGCTTTGGTTTTGGAACAGATTTCTGGAATGTATTAAGTTTGAGAACCAAGGTACCACTGTATTTGGAAGATTATTGGGGCAGGAGCTGTAGAACTGTAGGCTCAATCCCTAGCTATTTCCAGTTAAAAAAATTATAGGAAAGATCTCTGTCAGTGATCCAGTAAAATTTGACAGTATACTGAGCTAGAGGGATGCATCCCAGGAAGGCAGTGCCCTGGTGCAAGCCCTTTGCCATCATGTTTCATTAGCACAATTATGTGATGCAATGGCATCAATTTTTTAATTACAGCAAGAAGTACCCCATTATTATTTAGCAATGGTTGGCATACTCACCAGATCATTTTCTGCCTTTTTATTATATAGAGCGTCCACTTTGGAATCCAGCTCTGCTTGTATGTGGTCTCTTCTTTTCAAAACCCCCTGAATTGCAAAACAGGAGAGAGGGAAAGAGAGTGAGAGAGAGAGAGATAGAGATACATATAACGGAGCACTGTTTCGTCCAGTTAAATAACTTATGAAAGGGAGCTCCCAACAAATATTTTCATTAGAAACTTGGAAGAAGGTGGATACAGACATTCCCGTCTCTTGTCCTATGAAATTGGCAGATTCACTACAGATAAAGGAAAGTACACAATGCATATTTAATTTAAGGAATCTGTTGCCAAAATAATAATAATGTGATAATGGCTGCTAACTTGAACTTTTTAAAATGAGCACTAGACAAATCCATTGAGGATACATCACATGTCAGCATACTCTGTCTCCATCAATTGGACAGGGGACTAAAAGCTACTGTGAGGCTGCCTCCCGGGAGAAACAGTGGAGAGCAGCTTGATCCCAGCCACTGGACAGACAAGAAGCAATTTCACAAAGCTTCCCCCACCCCCGTCAAAAGAAGACAACAGCCAGCTCCAACCATCAGCTTCCCAGGGAGTGCAAAGCTGAAGGGGAGCACATTTTGGCCTCTGCCGTCAGAGAAGAGACTGAAGGCCGCAGGGAAGCTGCACCCAAAGTCTTCCAAGAAGACTGCCATGGCAAGCAGGAGACCAACCTGGTTCCAGCCATCGTCTTGAAAATGAATGGCGCAGGGAGTTTCCCTCCCTCATCCCTTCCAGAAAGAACACACTGCTCCAGCCTTTGTTTTCCTCTCCCCTCCTCATCCCCTTTTCCTTATCTATCACATTCATTAGACTGTAAGCACATGGGTTGTGACTGCCTTATTTTTAATCTCTGCAGAGTGCTTATACTTTGAGGCACTTTAGGGGGCTAACTTGGGGCAAAATGCAAGCCAGCAGGGCTGTACGGAGTGGCAGAGCCTTCCCCTAATATCCACAGTTCCCTGACATGTACAGTGGTACCTCACGTTAAGTACTTAATTCGTTCCGGAGGTCCGTTCTTAACCTGAGACTGTTCTTAACCTGAAGCACCACTTTAGCTAATGGGGCCTCCTGCTGCCGCCGCACCACCGGAGCACGATTTCTGTTCTCATCCTGAAGCAAAGTTCTTAACCTGAAGCACTATTTCTGGGTTAGCGGAGTCTGTAATCTGAAGTGTCTGTAACCTGAAGCGTATGTAACCTGAGGTACCACTGTATAAGGAGAGTTTGTGTAACAGCAGCAGAGCTGCTTCAAAGCAAACACTCCCCCCCCCCTTATGCCTTAAAATGGCTATTCAGGGCTACATTCTCGAGTGAATCCTGCCAAGTTGTGTACAGATGCCATATATTTTGAGCAATTTTTCCTCTACTGCTGTGGAGGCTTCTACCTCCAATTTTCCTTTGATAGCTGCACAATCAGATTGGCCACAAGAATATACAGTATACAACACACACACACACACACACACACACACACACACACACACAATTGCAGGCAGAATGGAGCTTTCAAATTGTCCCCTTTGCTTTGAAAACGCTATGCCATTCCTAGTAAGTACCCTATAAGTAGAGGGGGTTCAGTTGTGATGAAAGCATATTGGATGTGATTCAGAGAAAAACAGACACATCAAAGTTCTCTTCATGCCACTGGAGTTTAAGCGCATTTTACTCTGAGCTGCAGACATGTTCTGGCCCACCTTCCAAATAATCTTTCACTTCTGAGTTTCTCTAGCTAGAAAACAGTTATTGTGCATTGCTGCTCAAGAGAAATTGTACGTAAGAGGTGGTGTTGAGGCTGGCAACCTTTAAGAGGTGAGAAAGTGAGGAGGGGAAGACAGTTTTCCACTCAAGATGCTGACTACGGCGACAGAAAACAGCACCCTTGAAACAAAGATAAGGATTTTGCTTATAGGAAACTCGAAGATACGGACAACCAGGGCTTTTTTTCAGTTGTAACTCACCAGAATTCGGTTCTGGCACCTTTCAGGTGGGGACCATTGCCATTGTAAGAGAAAAAGGAAGGCGTTTATGGTGAGCTGTTGTTGTTGTTGTTGTTGCTATGATGATAATGATGATTAAACAACAACAATATTTTTTATTATTTATATCCCACCCATCTGGCTGGGTATCCGTAGCCACTCTGGGCGACTTACAGCATACAGTGGTACCTCGGGTTACATACGCTTCAGGTTACATACGCTTCAGGTTACACACTCTGCTAACCCAGAAATAGTGCTTCAGGTTAAGAACTTTGCTTCAGGATGAGAACAGAAATCGTGCTCCAGCGGCGCGGTGGCAGCGGGAGGCCCCATTAGCTAAAGTGGTGCTTCAATTTAAGAACAGTTTCAGGTTAAGTACGGACCTTCGGAACGAATTAAGTACTTAACCCGAGGTACCACTGTATATGGTCGGCTTACCGCACATAATTAATTAAATTTATACACTGCCCTATACCTTCAGGTCTCAAGGTGTTTCACAGGACAAAAACTCTAGCCCTGCAGACAATGCAATGCTGGACTCACTGGATACTGACAACTCATCAGTACCCTATTACCTATAAAGTTTGCTTTCAGAGCTCAGAACCACTCAGGACTGGGAGGTGGTCTGGATTATATCCATGGACCCCAACCAAGCCTGTGATTGTAGTAGAGGGACTGGTCAAACCAGCCTCTCCATAAGATAATGGCCTTAGCTGGCCCAGCTAAGTACCCCATTAGCATCTTGATGAGTGGGCCATGTTGCCATAGAGACAAATGTGTGGGGCTTCCCCACTCACCTGGCTGAATGCCAGGTCATCAAAGAGCTGGAAAACCAATAGACTAAAGCTGAAGAGACACAGATGCTTGCCTTGCTTTGGCTTTAGGGAACTGCCTGGAAACTTAATGGGGAAGCAAGATCTGTTGAAGGGCTAATGCTGTGAGCCCTGCCATCTCATGCTCAGGTTGTAAAAAGGTAAAGGGACCCCTAACCATTAGGTCCAGTCGTGGACGACTCGGGGGTTGTGGCGCTCATCTCACTTTATTGGCCGAGGGAGCCAGCATACAGCTTCCAGGACATGTGGCCAGCATGACTAAGCTGCTTCTGGCGAACCAGAGCAGTGCACGGAAACGGTGGAAGTCTTTTAAAAAACAACAACACTTTTTAAGGTAGATAAGGACAAGATGAAATTATACAATTGAATATAGATGGGAAACGGCTATGTATAGTGAATACTTATCTACCTTTAAAATTTTTCACCTATGATCCTTTTCTTTTACTTCTTTATTTTTTCTTTGTTCTTTTTTTCTTTTTTCTGATATCTTATCTTTCATTTCACTCCTTTATTGTGAATAGCATTTTATAGAGGTATAAAGGTAAAGGTAAAGGTACCCCTGCCCGTTCGGGCCAGTCTTGCCAGACTCTAGGGTTGTGCGCTCATCTCACTCTATAGGCCGGGAGCCAGCGCTGTCCGCAGACACTTCCGGGTCACGTGGCCAGTGTGACAAGCTGCATCTGGCGAGCCAGAGCAGCACACAGAACGCCGTATAAATAACTGTAAATATGAAAAGAGGCAAAGTATTCTCTAATTTTTTCCCTTGGTTATATGTATTTTCTTTTTCCTTTCTATTTTCTTTCGTTGTAAATATGTATGCTTTCTAATTTGTACTTAATAAAAATTATATATATATATATATATATATATATATATATATATATATATATATATGAAACACCGTTTACCTTCCCACCGGAGCAGTACCTATTTATCTACTTGCACTTTGAAGTCCTTTTGAACTGCTAGGTTGGCAGGAGCAGGGACCGAGCAACGGGAGCTCACCCCGTCACGGGGATTGCAACCGCCGATCTTCTGATCAGCGAGTCCTAGGCTCTGTGGTTTAACCCACAGCGCCACCCGCGTCCCTGGTTGTATGTATGTGTAGCGTTTACTGACCTCCATTCTAAGGTAACCACAGTCTCTCTCCTCTCATAGATGGGGATGCATGCAACACTATCTGGATTATAGCTTCAGACGTTCGTTTCCCCAGTGGGATTTTGATACCAGGGTTTCCTCTGATCTGCTTCCTATGTTATGGATTTGAGCATATACTACATGCACAACCTCACATTTGAACCAACAGCACACATACTGCAATGGGAACACCTATTGTTCATAGCCCTAGGGATTGCTGTTACACATAGTGGAAAAGATGCATATGACAGCTGATGGTGTGTATGTTCTTGAACCCCCCCCCACGAGAAAATCTTGTGGCACCTTAAAGACTAAAAAAATCCAGTATTTTACGCAGCAAATAAACACGGATCTCCCTCCCTGGAGGACAGTGGCCACTGAATCAGGAAGTCAGACCAACTGGATCATCTAGCTTTGTTTGGTCTACACTGGCTGGCAGAGGATCTCCAGGGATCGAGCCCTCCATGGAGATGAAGACGAGTGAACCTGGAAACTTCTGCTTCAAGGAAGATGCTTTACTCTAGCATCCTGTGCACCAGGCAAGATGGTATATCGGCTCTCAAGGACGTTAGGCCCACCCTAAACGGCCCCGGCCCTGTATACCTGAAGGAGCATCTCCACCCCTGTGATTCAGCTGAGATCCAGCACCTCTAACGGCCTTCTGGCAGTTCCCTCACTGCAAGAAATAAAGTTACAGGGGCCTTCTTGGTAGTGGCACCCGCCCTGTGGAACGCCCTCCCATCAGATATCAAGGGAATAAACAACTATCTGACTTTTAGAAGACATCTGAAGGCAGCCCTCTACATTTAATGTTTGGTGCTTTACTGTGTGGTGTTTTAATTTGTTGAAAGCCGCCCAGAGTCGCAGGGGCAACCCAGTCAGATAGGAGGCCTATTATTAGTTATGATGATGATGATACAGAATAAAAAGGCCAGATGCTCAGTCTCTTAAGCCAGGGGGTGGCCAGACCTTCGGGTGTTGTTGGAACTTCCAGCTCTCATCAACCCCAGCCAGCGTGGCCAGTGGCAAGGGCTGATGGGAGCCTAAACGGCCTCAGCCCTGTATACCTGAAGGAGCGTCTCCACCCCCATCATTCTGCCCGGATGCTGAGGTCCAGTGCTGAGGGCCTTCTAGCGGTTCCCTCACTGCGAGAAGCAAAGCTACAGGGAACCAGGCAGAGGGCCTTCTTGGTAGTGGCGCCTGCCCTGTGGAACACCCTCCCATCAGATGTCGAAGAGATAAACAACTACCTGATATTTAGAAAACATCTGAAGGCAGCCCTGTTCAGGGAAGTTTTTAATGTGTGACATTTTGATGTATTTTTAATCTTTGTTGGAAGCCGCCCAGAGTGGCTGGGGAAACCCAGCCAGATGGGCGGGGTACAAATAAATTATTATTATTATTATTATTATTATTATATTATTATTATTATCATCATCATCATCCAGCAAACACCTAGAGAGCACCAGGCTGGCTGTCCTTACCCAAAGTACTACATTGCCAACACCAGCTAAGAAAACACACTCACTGCAGTCATCTAACAGGCTGCTTACACTACAGCAATGCAATCAGAGGGAAGGGTGTTGAAAAGAAGAGTTCATGACAGATGAATCCACGCAGTGCCTGTTCCATCTTACCGTTAATATTTCACTGTACAGCACATATTCATGCAGAGTAGGGAAGAGGCTTTCGGAGAGCCCTGCCATCTGTTTCTCGGTCGCCTTACAGCATTTGTCGATACAGCTTGCCACCCCTTTCAGCGTGTCCGCCAGGTCTACTTCAGATGCGGACCAAAGCGTGTGGATGGGGCCAAACTCCTTCAGCTCACAAAAATAGTCTTTAAAATGGGGGGGGGGGGAGGAGAGAAGAGAAGGGATTGGCATTTAAATTCCGTTTCTAAAATAAAATAAAAACCAGAATATTTTAAAAAATGTCTGTGACCAGGTCAGTCCCATTTGACAGGTGAGGAACACATAATTAGCCGAAGATCTGGTCTTGAGTTCATGGCAGACAGTTCTTTAATTTCAATTTGGGAAAAGTGGGGTCTGCAGCAAAATGTTGCAGCATGGCATCTCACTGATTAGAATTCCAGCTACTCCGGTTCCATCACCCTCCCACCAGGTTTACTATTTACCGACCCTCAGTAGTTAGTCAGCATTCTGCAAGCACTGAGCATGCTTGGTCCTCATTGGACCGATTCTGCCTCCTCAACCCTAGGCTTTCTAAATATGTTTACTACTTTTCCAAAACTTGTGGCTCCTCCAAGCCTCCTGATATCCCCTTCTTGTGTGTGACTAGTACCATTTTCATTACTTAAACATCCCTACTCAGAAAATGGAGATCATATTGGTATACATGAAGTTTAGAGAGGGAACAGAGGCTGGATTCTAATTTGCCCTACTGTGGGGATTCCAGAAAGGAGGAAGAAACTGGAAGCCCACCAGAAATAGCCAAGAAAGTTGGCTTTCTTTTCCACCAACCTCTCTCTTCCCTGTAGACTCGGTGGGAGATTTTATCCAACAAATTGATTTTCTGACTAAACACCTCCACATGGTCCATCATTTCTGTAAATGCTTCCGGGCGGTTCTTCACGGGCACTCCTCGCATCGACGACGCGACAGCTTTGACCGTTTGTCCCATTCTGCTGAGCAGACCAGGCCCCTGCTTCTTGTGAGATGAAAGTTCCTAAAAATTAAGGGATGAAATCAAGCTTTGACTTGGGTGAGTTGTTGTTTATGTACTTGGAAAAAAAAGATGTAGTAAAAACCCAAGTTCACATCACAGTCCATATGAAACATGACAACCTTTGTTCCCATCGCTAATGGCAAAATTAATCTGCTAACTCACACTCTACTAAGATATAACCTCTGGTGGTTTCTGCATTGTGAAAAGTGAGGTTGAAGGGAACCAGGCAAAGGGCCTTCTCAGTAGTCATGCCTGCCCTGTGGAACACCCTCCCACCAGATGTCAAGAAAATAAACAACTATCTGACATCTGAAGGCAGCTCTGTATAGGGTGGTTTTTAATGTTTGATGTCTTACTGTGTTTTAATTTGTTGGCAGCCTCCCAGCATAGCTGTCAACCTTCCCTTTTTTTGTGGGAAATTCCCTTATTCTAGTGCCGTTTCCTGCTGCTTCCCGCTGCTATCCCGGATTGTTAGATATCCCGTGGACTGTCCCCAGGACAGGTGAGGCTGCTGATCCCTTATTTTCGAAGCTGCTGATTCCTTATTTTCAAATCTGAAAGTTGACAGCTTTGCCTCCCAGTGTGACTTGGGTAACCCAATCAGATGGGAAGCACATACTGTATTTTTCGCCCTATAGGACGCACTTTTTCCCCTCCAAAAATGAAGGGGAAATCTGTGTGCGTCCTATGGGGCGAATACAGGCTTTCACTGAAGCTTGGAGAGTGAGAGGGGTCGGTGTGCACCGACCCCTCTCGCTCTCCAGGCTTCAGGAAGCTATCAGCAAGCCTGGGTAGCCTGCGGGAGTTCCCGCAGGGCTCCCTAGGCTGAGGATAGCAGCCTGCCGCCCGGCGTGCGGGCGCCCTGAAGCAGAGCGCCCCTCGCGCCGGGCAGATGTCCGCAGCCTGGGGAGCCCTGCAGGAGTTCCCGCAGGGCTCCCTAGGCTGTGGATAGCAGCCTGCTGTCTGGCGTGCGGGCGCCCTGAAGCAGAGCACCCGCGCCCCGGGCAGACATCGGCCAGCCCCACAAGCTCGGGGGACAGCGGGGAGGGGGAGCGCCGCCATACCGCTGTTCCCCGACCTGGTTTGGTTTCCCCGACCTGGTTTTGGGGGGGAAATAAAGGGGGAAAAAATTCCCTTTATTCCCCCCCGAAAAAAATAGGTGCGTCCTATGGGACGGAGCGTCCTATGGGACGAAAAAGACGGTAACTATTACCTATTACAGTCATACCTCTGGTTGTGAACGTGATCCGTGCAGGAGGCATGTTTGCAACCCACAGCGTTTGCAGCCTGAAGCGCCGCGTCTCCGCATGTGCGTGACGCAATTCGGCGCTTCTACACATGCGCGTGACGTCATTTTGCGTTTCTGCGCATGCACGAGTGCCAAAACCTGGAAGTAACCTGTTCCAGTACTTCCGGGTTTGGCGCAGGCCGCAACCTGAAAATGCGCAAACCGCAGCGTTTGTAACCCGAGGTATAACTGTAAGAATTATTATTGCTATTATTATTATTATTATGTCTTTTTGCTCTTTTGTTCCTTGTTTTGTCCAGTGCTTTCAACGGCTTCTTTAAAAGCATGGCTTTGTCTACAACCCCATTTAGGTAAAAATTAACTGGTGCCTATAAATATTCAAAGGCATTCCCATAATGGAGGGGTGTATGTGCATTTTGATACTCCAACTAAGCTTTCTGAGAAGATGTGGCTTTCCTATGCCATCTCCCTGAATATTCCATTAAAAAAAGAAAACACAGGATAAATGCAACAGGGTATTTTTGATCTGGACTGTATCCAGACAGAAGCAAGGAGGAGATCTTTTGCTCTGAATGAGCAAACAGGGAGTTCTCTCTGTCTGCTTTCTCTCAGTTTTGGTCTTTTCTCCCTGCAGTGCAGAGAATGTGGAGGTGTGTGGGAGAAGAAAAGAGGTGTCTGAAGTTAGTGCACAACCTCTTCCCAATTACAATCCTGGGGGACAAAAGGGGGGAAAGTCTGAATTCATCTTAACCCAGTTAGATAGGTACCTATTTCGGTCAGACTTGACAAATCTTACTTTTATGATCACCACAACAAAATAAAAAAATAATCTTTACCCAGGCTTGTGCAGTAAGAAAAATTTTGAGGTCCTCATTAAAAGTTAAAGTGGGATGATCAGCAATCCGGTTTAAAAATTTATGCAGTGCTTTCTTTCTTGTTTCAATGAATTCTTCATTAAATCGTTCCACAACTCCTTTCATTATGAATTTTTCAGGCAATGGCTAAGGCAGAAAGATAATGGAAGGGAAAACACAGTTAAGCTACATAACTGCATGTATATGTAAGCAGCCATTCTAAAAATATTGGTCTGCTTTGGATGTAACCCGAAACCATAGTTTATAGTGTCACAAGAATGAGGCTACGTGATTCAATGGGCTCACATTCTCCTCCTCCTCCTCTGGCATGGCTTGCTTTCATTTAAGATTTGGGGTTTTTGCATTATTCTAACTGTGATTCATCTAAAATAAAAGCAGAGGCTCAAAGGGTGAGAGGAGGGGGGTAGTGTGCAAGCCCAAGGCTCACTTAGGCTTATCTTCAAAACATTAGAACATGGTTTAGTGTTACATGCGAACCAAGTCAAAATAAAATATGCAGTGGTTTCATTATTAGAACAAATACGAGGGAGAGGACACACTGCAGAAAAAGAACAGTTACCACTTATCACTCTTAAGAAATCAGTTTAGCACATCCAATGTGCTTTTTCTCTTCTTTCAATCTCAGCTTTCTGCCTAACAAAACAAGAGTTGATTAGACCTACAGGAACGATGAGAGTTGGGTGTGCTTCCTCAAGCCTTCCCTTTAACCAAAGGAAATCTTGATAGCGTCGTCTAACTTCATACTCACTGGAGTCGAATTCACCACGCATTGTCTAGAAAACATACAGAAGACAGTCAAATGATGCATATGTCGAAAAGGCCTTCAGGCACTCATGGTGTATAATGGCTATTTGGCAAAGAGAATGAGTGTTTTAAAAGCAAACAGTGCATGATTATTGAGTAGCCACTATGAATGGGACTTCCGCTTCGGCACAGAGGTCCTTTTGTATCAGAAGAACTGTACACAGCCAGAGAAGAACTACAATTCATGACTCTGAGCATGAGCTAGGTTCATGAGATCATTCAGTCTTACTGCAGCACAGATTAGCACAGATTGTATTTACAGCATGCTCTGAAGACGTCTAAGCTTCAAGCAGCCTTTTGAGAAGAACCTGCAGAGAAGAATCTAAAATAGGTGGCATCTTCTTGTGCACCGGGGAACAAGCTCCTCCCTGCCCCCCCTTGAATACAATTGGACTGACTTCCGAGCAAATATGCATAAGATCAAGCTGCCTATCCTCTCCTTCACTTACAAATGGAGAAAAAAAGAAAAGCACTCAAAGCAGTAGATGGATAACTCAGTTGGTGAAGCATGAGACTCTTAATCTCAGGGCCTTGGGTTTGAGCCCCACATTTGGGCAAAAAAGTCCTGCATTTCAGGGGGTTGGACTAGATGATCTTCGAGGTCCCTTCCAACTATGACCTAAGCTGGTCCTTAGAAACTCAGCACTTCTCAGGGAGACTTCAAAACTGACTGGCTGTATGGTTTTTTTTAATTTTAAAAATGGGCAAAGTATATTTCAGTGCAGACACAAATACAGTGGTGCCTCGCAAGACGAAATTAATTCGTTCTGCGAGTTTTTTCGTCTAGCGAATTTTTCGTCTTGCGAAGCACGAAATCCCATAGGAATGCATTGAAATTCAATTAATGCGTTCCTATGGTCAAAAAAAGTCCAAACAAAGCCAAATTTGGTACAAGAAGAGTTTATTAAGTGCTCTTTAAAGTCACACATACTGTAAAGAGCATTTCAAAAATTGAAGGAACAATAAATTAAGTTTCTAAACATGACAGAAAAACATTTAAAAATCAACAAAGTGTACAGTACATTTTCTAAGACTCTGGGGGACCACTCGAAGAAGGTTCCTCTTCCACTCTTTGCTTCTTGCTTGGTCTGCTGCTTCATCCACCTTTTCAGCACCTCCCTGAAAGGCGACATGACCCTCGTATCAAAAGTGTTCGCAAGGTCATGTGCCATGTGCTTGTCAGGGTGGTGCCGCTGTGCAAAAGCCTGCACATCCTTCCACTTCATGCAAATGTCCCTCAGTTCTTTGGAGGACAGCCGTTCCTCAGTTGCTTCCTCCTCTTCCAGCGAGGCCTGCTCCTGCGCAGCCTCTGCCTGCAGTTCGACCAGCTCCTGGGTGGGCAGCTCGTGGTCGTGCTCCTCCACCAGCTTGCTGATGTCCTCCTCTGTGACCTCCAGGCCCATGGTCCTCCCCAAGGCAACAATGTCCTGCACCACTGTTGACTCTGGTGCATCAGAGTCACTTGGTGCCACACAGTCCGGCCACAGGCTGCGCCAAGCGCAATTCAAATTTCTCTGGCTGATCCCGTTCCAGGCCGTGGTGATCATCTTCAAGCAGGTGACGATGTCGAAGCGGTCCTTCCAGAATTCCCACAGGGTGATGGTGGTGCAATCTGTCACCTCGAAGCATTGCCTAAAAAGCTCCTTGGTGTAGAGTTTTTTGAAATTGGCGATGACCTGCTGATCCATCGGCTGGAGCAGTGGCGTGGTGTTAGGCGGCAGGAACATGATGCTGATGAAGCTGAACGCCTCCAACAAGTCCAACTCAAGGCCTTTAGGATGAGCAGGAGCATTGTCCATCAGAAGCAAAGCCTTCAGCGGCAGGTCGTTGTCCAGCAGGTACTGTTTGACAGCAGGGCCAAAAGCAAGATTGACCCAGTCCACAAACAGCACACGTGTGACCCAAGCCTTACTGTTGGATCGCCACATGACACTCAGCTGCTCCTTGTCAACCTTGTGTTTCCTGAAGGCCCGTGGGTTCTCCGAGTGGTACACCAGCAGGGGCTTGATCTTCAGGTCGCCGCTTGCGTTGGCACAGAAGAGCAGGGTCAGACGGTCCTTCATGGGCTTGTGGTCAGGCAACTTGGCCTCCTCCTGAGTGATGAAAGTCCTTTTGGGCATCCTCTTCCAAAACAGCCCGGTCTCGTCGCAGTTGAAGACCTGCTGTGGAACGTAGTCCTCCGTCTTCACAGCCTCCAGGAACTCCAATGCAAAGTCTTCAGCTGCAGGAACATCAGAACTGGCAGCCTCTCCATGCCTGACCACGCTGTGGATTCCAGATCTTGCCTTGAACCGGTCAAACCAACCTCTGCTTGCCTTGAAGACTTCTGGCTCGCCTGAGGTTCCTGGCTGTTCCCGGACGAGGTCTGCGTGCAAGGCCTTGGCCTTCTCACAAATGACGGCCTCAGTCACTGTGTCCCCTGCACGCTGCTTCTCTTCTAACCAGATGAGCAGCAACTTCTCGACCTCCTCCAGAACAGCTGGGTGGTTCTTTACGATCCTGGTGACTCCCTTGGCTGCATCAGTCGCAAGGATCTTCTCCCTCATCTTCAGGATGGTCCCAATGGTCGATGGATTCCTCCCGTACTCCCTGGAGAGGTCTGTCACACGCATTCCACCGTCGTGCTTCCGGATGATCTCCTTCTTCATTTCCAGCGTAACCTTCTCCTTCTTCCTCTCGCCGGCCTCTGCAGCAGCAGTCTTCTTGGGCCCCATGGCAGCACAGCTCCTACCTTCGCAACCCCCCCCCCCCAAAAAAAATCAGTGCTTCACATCCAAAAATTTCAAAAGCACAAAACCTCCCAGAAAACACACAAGCTTCCAGATTCTTGCAAACCCCTCCCCAACATCAAGTCCTTGAATTCCAAACACCCCAACCCAAAATCCAAAAACCCCAAAAAAGTTTTAAAAGTTTAACTTACCAAATGGCTGCAAAAGAAGTTTTGGAAAAGCTTCAAAAATCGCCAATGTCTTCAAAAACCTCAACAAAGGCTACCACACCGCCTGATATGAGTTGCTCCTCGAAGTCAAGTCGCAACTGCACCTCTTGAAGCAATGCACCTTGGGTTTTAACGGTTTTACGAAAAAGGAAACAAACTTGCAAGACGTTTTCGTCTTGCGAAGCAAGCCCATAGGGAAATTCGTCTTGCGAAGCAGCTCAAAAAACGAAAAACCCTTTCGTCTAGCGAGTTTTTCGTCTTGTGAGGCATTCGTCTTGCGGGGCACCACTGTATATTCCTATATTCATCACCCCTCATTTTAATATTGTCGTGTAACTGCCAGACAAACATGTGTGTGTATGTGTATAGGAGAAATATTTGTGAAAGGTTATAAAGCATAATCACAAGGCAGGAATATGTGTGTGTAGAACTGTAGATATAGATGCAGGGGTGTGTGTTTGTGTGTATGTATGTATGCAGAAGGTAACTATCATAAACTGGCAGGCAGCACTGCCAAACCACTTCCTTGTTATCTTTCCATTCATATAAATAGCTTTGGCCAGGACACCCCATGGGATTTCTGACCATTTTTTTACATTCATTTTTTCCCCCATTCATTACATACATCTCAATTTCTTAACATTTATTATATATTCCTCCCTCCCTCCCTTCCAGGGCTTCCCCCAACTTCTGCTTCTGGTTTGTTTCTCTTTTCACCCACTTTGATATCTCCTAACAGAAAAAGTTATTAATAACATAACATCATAAATAAAATTAAATACACAATAATATTTCACTATTTTCTAAACATTTTCTAATACTAATAATGTGAATGTTTATTTAAATCCTGCCATCAAGTCTATTGACTTTCTTTGTTTCTGCAAATATAATATAAATGGTTCCCATTCTTTTTCGAAGTCACTGTTGTCTTTTTCTCTTAATCTATCTGTCATTTTTGCCAGTTCTGCATAGTTCATCAACTTCTCTTGCCATTGTTCTTTAGTTGGTATTTCTCCAGTCTTCCGATTTAGTGCAATCAACATTCTTGCTGACCATTCCTTCCCAGCCACAGCAGAATCACATGCTATATCACACACAGCTTTTGAAACCCCCCTTATTTGGGGGTAAAAAAACCCTTCAACATTATTCTTATTTCAAAAAGTCTGTCACATGGCTGTTGGAAAAGCCCAAGCCCAAAGCCCTCTCAGGTAGGAGTAGCTGCCCCCCAGGTAATGTCTCGGATTCCCATCAGTCCCAGTGGTGAGGGATGATGAGAGCTATAGTCTGACAACATCTGGCTTCCTCTAAGGCAGGGATAGGTATCCTAAGGCCCATGGGCGACAAACAACCCATGGGGGTCGTTTTACCAGCCCACGAGCTGCTCCTGAACCAAGTCGCCCGCTCGGTGAGTCCTTGTGAGCTGCGCTAAACTGGCGTGGGGACTCACTTCCGCGGTGCCGGAAATCGCGTCTACATAGATGCAGATGCCGGAAATCACATCTGCGCAGATGCAGATGTTGGAAATCTGCACAGACGTCGGAAATTGCGTGCGCACTCAGGCACGCAATCCAGCCCACAGAGAGATCTCCGCTGGAGTGAACTGGCGCATGGGAGGTAAACCTTGCCAACCCCTGCTCTAAGGCAAGCGGAACAGACATGCTTCTTTCTCACCAAGTACCACACAGTGGGTTAAACCACAGAGCCTAGAACTTGCCGATCAGAAGGTCGGCGGTTTGAATCCCCACGATGGGGTGAGCTCCCGTTGCTCGGTCCCTGCTCCTGCCAACCTAGCAGTTCAAAAGCACGTCAAAGTGCAAGTAGATAAATAGGTACCGCTGCGGCGGGAAGGTAAACTGCGTTTCCGTGCGCTGCTCTGGTTCGCCAGAAGTGGCTTAGTCATGCTGGCCACATAACCCGGAAGCTGTACGCTGGCTCCCTCGGCCAGTAAAGCGAGATGAGCGCCGCAACCCCAGAGTCAGTCATGACTGGACTTAATGGTCAGGGGTCCCTTTACCTTTACCTTACCACACAACACCTGCGACGTCAGTACCAGCTGCAAAGTTTACTTTAAATGGCCAAAGCGGAAATTTGTGGCAATAGGAAACTAACCTTTGTAACAACTCTGTAGGTGATGAACGTCTCTAGGGCAGTGATGTGGCTTTCCGGATCGTCAACTGTAATGAAAAGATCCTTTAATTCTGGTTCATCGTCAAATTTGTACTGGTTGATCATCGAAGACGGGGATGTGGGCATCAAAGGACTGAATGAATTGATCTCGGTGAGGGAGGCATCCTGTGGACAAAACAAGGGATTTTAAAGAATTGCCACTTACACCAAAAAGATACAACTTACTCGTAGTGACTCCTATATTATATCATTGATTTGTCATAGGTTGTGAGGCTAAAATCTGTGGGGCTTTCACCATAATCCAAAGGAATGTATCATACTATCAGTCTTCAAGACTGTAAGGAAATGGGGGCATCGACAAGTACTAACCAGAACCATTCCTACCATTAGGCACATTCAGGACCATTCCTACCTTAGGCAGCTATTTTTGAATGTCATGGAAAGTAAGCAAATGGTGAATTATCTCGGCTTGAATCCAAGCAGTGCAAGGGTTTACAATATTAATAGAAAAGGCCATTGTTCATTGAGAAAAGGCTGTAACTGCTGCTTCTCACTCACCTCAGGGTACAGTGGCTTAACAGAAGCCCCTGTGGAGAGGTGACAGTTGGAGGAGGGAGGAGCCACCCCTGGGAACTGGATGGTTGCAGAGGTAGTTTTAGGGTAGTGTGACCAACTGGGTGCCCCACTGCAGGGGGGGTCACAAGAATGCTGCAGAACGGGGTGGGGTGTGGAATGCCAGATTTTAGCATCGCACAGGGCGCCGCTGAAATTTGAGAGCCCAAAGTCCGCCACCGATGCTGCTGCAATGCAGGTCTGTGGAACCTTGCTAAACTACAACTCCCATCTTCCTTGGCCATTTGCCACGCTTGATGGGAGCCGTAGTTCAGCAACAGTTGCAGGAGCAAGGATTCTCCAGTCTGGGTCTTGTATGGCATTGTAAGATGGCTCAATGTGCGATTTAATGGCTCCTAATGGGAGCCATTAACACTTGAAGATTAAATTATTGACTCACTTCTCTCTGGTTAACTGCTTTTTCCATATATAATAAAATATTTTATTCTCAGGCTTTCTCAAAACACTTTTCCAGCATTGCATCCCTGCCCCCCACCGCTGGCACACCAGTCTCAACTAGCTGTTTTTTTTATTGTCAGGCAACACCCAGATCCACAATGGCAATCGCCTTGAAAACTGGCTACTCAGTTATCAATGAAGCATCAAAAGGGGTGAAAAAGACATATCAATCAATCAGCAAGACACAATAGCTTTTATTGCCGTGAAAATCCCCTTCAAGTCTGGGATGACTGTGGTGCTTTCCCTGATTTCCAAAGGTCATGCATCTTTGCCTTTTTGTTTCTTTTCGAGCAACAGAACCCCTTTGTACAAAGGAAGCTTAACTTTGCACTGGATACCACATTTTTACAATGGCTAAAGTGCCAGTATTCCATGCTTCTTTTCCTGGCAGATCATTACAAGATATAAATTGCTAAGTCACACAAAAAGGTGACTTTGCATCCCGAAAAACTCCCTGAGCTGCCATGGGAGCCTTTCTTTGCATTGAACATTGGGTGGTTGTTTTTAACTTTTCTTTCTCACAAACACAAATCACTGCCTCTCTAGGATTAGAGTTAGAGAACCAATGTAGCTAAGGGAATGATCCATAGATCAGGAAGTCCCTGGTGCAGTTCTTCACCACAAACCACATGGGATGTCCTTCAACGAACTACCTTCTCTCATGTCATATGCAACATGGATAAAATAAGGGACACATTAGATGTGACTTTATGAATGTCATCCAAAACAATGCTTAGGCAGATCACATCTTTTTTGTTTATAAAGTGCAGCCACAAGGCCCATTCCCAAACTTGATCAGGACCAAAATACTTCAATCTTTTCCCCATGTCAGTTTCTCACCAGAAACCCTCCTTCCACAGCTGTATCTTAATATATGGATGCTCACTCCCCAATATGTATCGTGATGCTTACTGTATCTGAGCCAAATTGAACTGGTAGGATGTTTTTGCTGTGTTTTTTTTTTAAATGTAGATTGAGATGTGCATAATCTTCTAGGTGTTAAGTACAATTAGTTGACTGGCAAAACAGATGGACTGGGTGTATATTTCCTTATGTCTATAGCCCATCTTTCTTCCATCATGGAACCACATCTTACATTGCAATATCTCAAAAAAGGTCTATCCAGCCCTAGTGAAAGCACAAATGTGAATGCTATTCCATCTTGTACGTTCTGGTTGGTTCACAGAGTACTCGCCTTCTGCTTTTGGTACATTTGATAGATGGTGTAATGAGTATGGGTTGCTCGAGCGTAAGTTGCCGCCTCTCCTGGCTTTGTTGCCTTGTTAAACCTTTCAGTCTGGGCAGCCCTTCACTTCGTGGCTGCCTCAGTCGCTAGCAGAATCCGTCAGTGGGCGTTTCTTAAATCTTTTCCAATATAAAAGTTGTTTGACACCCAGTCTCCTCCTACTCTCTCTGCGCGGAAGTCTTCTGCGCAGGGAGGGCGTGGGTAGCGGAGGACCCGTGCTCTCCCCGCTGGTGTCCGGTGAAGAATCCTGGAGCCCTCTCGCCGATTCCCCCATCTGCCCCCCTTTATCCCTGGTGTTGCGCTGATTTGCTTCCCCATCTGCGGAGCTGCCTCTCTCCCTGCTGGGCCCTTCTCCAGCATCATTTGAGAGCCTTCCCTCCGCCTCTAGCTCCGATGTCAGTTCCCTGACAGATGGCTTCAAGGGTTTTTCAATGTATTTTTCAACATTTTCTCTTGTTATAGATAATGTAGTTTGTGCCTCTCTTCAAGTACTTTTAAAAAACTGCTCTTTCCTTTTGTCTCTGTGTGCAGACCTTTGCCTCGTCTTTGGCCTCATATGCAGTATACATTTAAAGCAGTATTCTAACACTCCATACATTTCAATGGTTTATCCCCTGTGTGAGCCCATTGATGCTTTCTATGGGTTTCTCACTGAAGGTCCTTCCACATTGCAGACATTTAACTGGCTTCTCCCCTGTGTTCATTGACGGTAAGTAAGGGAAATACAAAAAACTAAACAAAAAACACTTCTCTTTCTGTTTGTCTCTGTATGAGTTTGTAGACGTACAGTAAGTTCTGACTCCTGAAGCTCTTTGCATATTTAATGCATCTGAATGGTTTATCCCACGTGCAAGTTCGTTGATGTGAAGGAGTCAACCCTGACTGAAACCCTTTCAGCCTTCTATTCATCTAAATAGTTTCCCCTGTGTGAGTCTGTTGATGTTTCTTAAGTGTTCCACTCTCACTCTTTCCATGCTCCATACATTTAAATGGTTCCTCCTGTGTGTGATGCTTTCTCCTTGTCGATGTGAAGTTAGTTGTGCACACTGACTGCAGCAGATTCCACAATCCAGTCATTTAAGTGGTTTGTTATTCCGAATAAAACTACACATGGCCCCCGACAATTCCGGCCGTCTTCTCCATTGCCTGCTTTCAATTTCTCCTGGACAACCAACATCTCTGTATTTATATTTTTCAAGCAAGCAGATGAGCTCAGACTTGGGCATCAGAGTCTCTCCAGATGTCTCTAAGGGTCCTGGGTGGGAAATCTCAGAGGTTGTGGAGAGAGGCCCAGTTAACAGCCTGACCGGGTCAACCATCCACCTTCCTCCTTCCATTCAGATTAAGCCTCATCTTTCCTGAGGAGCTCAGAATCTAAAACAAGTTGTTGATTCCCAGGTGGACACATGGCCGGAATCCACATAAGACAGTGTCCTGTGTTCAGGTCTTCCAACCTCCAATGCAGCAGCAGCAGCTTCAGCTTGCCCTGGCCATGGTGAGGGGGGTGGAATTTAGCTTCCAGGGTAGAACAGAGGCTGGGAGGAATTGAAACTCCCCCTTTTTAGGGATCCCTCTCCAGGATGAGTCACAGATTCCTGAGAAGATGAGAGAAGCCAAGGCAGCCTGGGAACCCCCCCAGAGATTTCCCTACCAGCACCCCAGATGGAGAGATTCCCCAAAGGTCACACCTCTCTCCCCACCCCTGCCCAGCTGGGATTCTCTCCCTGGGGATCCACTCAGCCCCCTCAGAGTCTGGCCTATGCCCAATGGCCCTGTTTGGCACAGCTCACCCCTCAATTATTTTAAGTTTTGATGCCTGCCTTCCTACTTAAAGCTCTCTGCTGTGCCTTAACTGTCCTCACTACCATGATACCTCCCTCTCATCATTCAGATCACTTACTCCTTTGTACCACTCCATTCACCAGCTTTCTCCTGCTTGTTGACTTCGCACTAAGCTTCTTATGCTTACTTTCAAGTATTTCCGTGGTCTTCCTTATCTAGATCTATGGTCTCGTCTTTCTTTGTCTGCTGCTGCAAGACACTTGTACAGCAAAGCTTCCAATCTAAAACCTAAACCTTACAGAACCCTTTATATTTAGCAATGGGAGCACAGCTTGGAAATTTAGATATCTATACCAAAAGTGGGTTTTAAACCTTAAAAAAAAATTTTTTTGCAGCACTTTTAGTTATGTTCCAGTATTTATAATGTCATATGTTAGCCCTGGACTCTTTTGGGAGAAAAGGTAGAATCTAAATCAAATAGATAATAAATCATCATCATCTATTTACCCTGGAACTTTCTTACTGGCCTTCAGTCTCTTTTCCCACCCTTTATTTTTCTGTCCTGCCCCCCTGGCAATGTGTCTTTAAACTGTAAGCCTGCAGGTGGATCTGCTTAATTTTAATATTATTTAAAAGTGATTTGCTCTTTCACTAGTAATTTGCAGCAGTTTCTCAAACCCATCAGCTTGCATGTGTCTTCTGCTATCGCACAAAGGAGGGGGGTAATAATGGAATAGAAACTTAAATATTTTTATTGGCTCAACTTCTGTGATGCTAATAATAATAATAATAATAAATTTATTATGTATACCCCGCCCATCCAGCTGGGTTTCCCTAGCCACTCTGGGCGGCTCCCAACAGAATATTAAAAACACAATAAAACATCAAACAGGGTTGCCTTCAGATGTCTTCTAAAAGTCAGATAGTTGTTTATTTCCTTGACATCTGATGGGAGGGACTTCTCGCAGTGACGGAACTGCCAGAAAGCCCCTTGGAGCTGGACCTCAGAGCTGGATGGGGGTGGAGACGCTCCTTCAGGTATACTGGGCCAAGGCAGTTTAGGGCTTTAAAGGGCAGCACCAACACTTTGAATTGTGCTTGGAAACATCCTGGGAGCCAATGTAGGTCTTTCAAGACTGGTGTTATATGGTCTCAGCGGCCACTCCCAGTCACCAGTCTGGCTGCCGCATTCTGGATTAATTGCAGTTTCCGGGTCACCTTCTAAGGTAGCCCCACATAGAGCACATTGCAGTAGTCCAAGCGGGAGATAACTAGAGCATGCACCACTGTGACGAGACAGTCTGCGGGCAGGTAGGGTCTCAGCCTGCGTACCAGATGGAGCTGGTAGACAGCCTCCCCGGACACAGAATTAACCTGCGCCTCCATGGACAGCTGTGAGTCCAAAATGGCTGCATACCTGGCCCTTCAGGGGCACAGTTACCCCATTCAGGACATGGATATAACACATTTTGGGCACAATCCTATGATCCCTGAGATGGCATTCCAAAGGCCATAGAAGATTGTGGATTGTGGGTGGAAAGGGAGGCCCATCCCAGACACATGGAAAGAACCACCCACATTGCTCCTCTGCTATCAGTTCTCCAATGGCAGAGAGGAAATGTGAGGGCAGTTCTGAGTGTTGGGGTGGCTTTGCATTCTCCCCCTGACCTGCTTCCAGAATGAACCCTGGAACTGGCATGCTTCCAGCTCTTCTACCTTCCAACCTGACGGATGCAAAACCAGGAGGGCTTCTGGCCGTTCCGGTGCCACAAATAATCTCTGAACCACCCTCATGACTTCCTTCTGCCCAAGGGCACATTGACACCATACTTTTTGAGCACATGGCTTCCTCCAAAGAAGCCTGGGAACTGTAGTTTAAGGGTGCTGGAAAATGGGACTCAGATATGCATGCCTAGAGCGCTTCACCATCAAACTCCTTAATGCCTTTAATCAGGTCTTTTTTCAGCCGGAACTCACCAGAACTTAGTTCTGGCACCTGTCAGGTGGGTGCCATTGCCACTGTAAGAGAAACGAGGGCATTCATAGTGTTCTAGAAAAACAGCACTGCCTTTAAGTATATAAGTTTCATATACAGTGGTACCTTGGGTTAAGAACTTAATTCGTTCTGGAGGTCCGTTCTTAAACTGAAACTGTTCTTAACCTGAAGCACCACTTTAGCTAATGGGGCCTCCTGCCACCACGCCACTAGAGCACGATTTCTGTTCTCATCCTGAAGCAAAGTTCTTAACCTGAGGTACTATTTCTGGGTTAGTGGAGTCTGTAACCTGAAGCGTATGTAACCTGAAGCGTCTGTAACCTGAGGTACCACTGTACTCGTATCCTGCAGATGGATGATCTAAGTCTGAAAGAATTGCTTAAAGCCACACAGCATAGTGAGTTTATGGCAGAGGTGAAATTTAAACTGGTAACTTTAAATTTCATAATATATACTCTTAGCTGCAGAGCCACACTGGCTCCAAAGGCAGAAAAGGGATAAATTGGCATAAGTTGTTCCCCGGTGCCAGCTAGATTTCAAAGCAGATGTCTGACACAGATAAACCATAAAAGCAGCCCTCTGCAGAGCAGTTTTGTAACCTTTTAAAACATATTAGTCAAAGTTCTTTATACAGAATATAAAAGTCCGGGAATCTAATGCCTATCAGGAATGATGACAAAGGATGATGGCCTACATTATTATCTTCCAAGGCACCTTCCAAGCTTTCTAAACACCAGGGGCACCATTAGGCCACACAGCCAGGTAGCTGCTAAAATCACATGTGCTTTATGTTTATGCTTTGAGTAATAATCTGGATTATTACACTTGACAGTTTTAAGATTCTCATTTTTCACCATTTAGGGAGCTGTTTTATTTCCATTGTGCAAGCTGCGAAAAATGATATATGAAGTCAATTTACCTCCAGGTACTCATGCACTAGAAAAATAATGTTTTGGTTAGGCAGCAAACTTTGAAGATGAATACATAGAGGGGGCATGGAAACGGAGGAATTTCCTTCATATTAATATTGATTTCATAGGAAATCTTTTATTAATGTTCGTAAAAACCGGTTTATGAAAATAAAATAAAGTAAATACTGACCAGGAAACAATGAGAAGGCTGCTTCCCATTCAATATCGCTATACCACAGTGTACCAATATCAGAAAATGGTATTTTGACACAGGAATGGCTAAAAATCTTAGTGAAGACTTAGTGAAGATGGGAAGGTAGCGATTCCCATCAGCCTCAGCGAGCATGGTTAATGGTCAAGGATGATGGGTATTGTAGTCAGTGTTAGAAACTCAGATATATAAGCTAGATGCCAAATGGCTCCTTAAACCAGGGTTACAATAGCCAAAAAGGATTGCTTAGTTGGCATTTTGGGGCCAGGCGGCTTGAAAGTTGCATTTTTCAATACGAAGTTTTGGTTCCTGAAATTCATTCCGATTGTGCAGATAAAAGATAACTGATAAAATTCCACAGGGTGTGGCATTAGTGTGTGAAAACGGTCAAGATCCAAGGATGTACCGTGCCACATTAGAAGCAAAAAAACTTGTTTTGATGAATTGGAAGAGCCACAAAAAGATCCCATTGAGCACATGGATTGACAACATCGACAGACTAGTTACATACGAACAAATTGCATATCGACGCAAATTAAGAATGGATAAATATGAAGAAATCTGGAAGGAATACTTAAGCGATAAGGCAGAAAATGGTGGGAAGTAGGGGGAGGAGAGGTGGGGAAATATTGTTAAAAGGGTGTAGTTATAGGTATATCAGTACAGTGGTACCTTAGGTTAAGTACTTAATTCGTTCTGGAGGTCTGTACTCAATCTGAAACTGTTCTTAACCTGAAGCACCACTTTAGCTAATGGGGCCTCCTGCTGCTGCCGTGCCACCGGAGCACGATTTCTGTTCTCATCCCGAAGCAAAGTTCTTAACCTGAAGCACTATTTCTGGGTTAGCAGAGTCTGTAACCTGAAGCGTATGTAACCTGAAGCGTATGTAACCTGAAGTGTATGTAACCTGAGGTACCACTGTACTCAAATCTGAATTGTTAAATTGTATTATTAGTGTTCTTGTGGTTTTTGTTGTATGTGGTTTTTGTGGTTGCTGTCAGTATTAAAAAAAGAATAAATGAATTAAAAAATATATATCCAAGGATCCCCAGGCATTCACCTGCAGATGGTGGAGAGGTCAGTCACCATCCTAGCACCTGGGAATCTTCACTTGGTCGCAAGTGGCTGATAGCCAGGGCAAAATGCACTTGGAGCCTGCCAAATTTTGAACGCTGGCTGTAGTCTAATGCATCTGGGGAATGCCATGATGGGGAAGGTTCCTATTAATTTCTATGGAGGCTCTCACAATCTGGGACTCCTTGTGTGCAACACACAAATTTGTTCAAAGTGTGGGGAACGGTGTGATTTGTAGTAGTGGGCACAGGGATGGCTAAGGAGAAGAAATGAATTTCTCTCTCTCTCTCTCTCTCTCACACACACACACACACACACACCTATTTCAGCCCATCCACTTCCCCAAATTCACTTGACAGAATCTGCTCCTGTTCTGGAGGACTTTGGAATCAGCATATTCAAGTATTAAATTGTTGCCTTCCAGTGTTTACCCCATCACCACCCAAAGAGGATTCTGTACACAGAGCAGAAGCAGAAATATTATTTCAGCATTAGCCGGATGTATTTTTAAACATTAGGAGAAGTGTACAATTCATAAATGATTCATTAATGCCTCTTAGGCTTCTATTCAGGAGCAAATCTAGCAGTCAAATCTAAGATGCTGACATTTGGATTTTTCACTCCATAAATTTCTGTCATAAACAGATCTGTGAACACGGGTTTTCAAGAATGAAAAATGTGTGTCGTCTCCTACAGCTGCTCTGTGAATGCTCTTCTGCTTAATTTGTAGAAAGGCAGCAGGGGTTGAATGTTTGCCATTTCAAACAGCTGGTTTTGAACCAGTAACTGGTGAACTACAGTATCCTGGAACAGTTTTACCTCACAGATTGATCATGGAAGTAAGGTAATTCTTTTTTGTTCCAAGGTGTCACCTTTTGATTGCCAAATTCTCTCAAGCCCCAAATGGCTTTAATTCTGGCCATGCGAACAGTTTGAAGTCTTCTACAAACTTCCTGCTTCAGGACAGCCATCGGTCATAAATATCCTGCTCATGGTTTCAAATTTCCTCTGCCACATGGCTCTTTAGGGTTTTGTTTTTGCTCCTTTCCCAACTGACAGGCTTGCCTTTACACTCTTTTCTCAATATTTCCCATTCTTCTGCCCTGAAGCATAGACAATTACTTGGACAACCAGGGTTAACATGACCCTACACAAACACACACGACTGTGCAAGGGGGTTGTGGGTAATGTGAACTAATCCCACCACACATACCAATGCGTCTGGTCGCTACACACATGTCTGCCATCCACAGGTTTGGAGCACACTGAAAGGGACTCTATCCTTGAATTATGCACAAACAGCTCTTCCACACAAAGGAACACTCTGGCCTCATCTAGGTTCCCCCTTAAAGCCCTAAATGGCCTTGGCCCTGTATGCTTGAACGAGAGTCTCCACTCCCATCCTTGAGCCTAGATACTGAGGTCCAGCTCCGAGGACCTTCTGGAGGTTCCCTCATTGAGAGAATGAAGTTACAGGGAACCAGGCAGAGGGCCTTCTCGGCAGTGGTGCCCTCCCCATAGATGTCAAAGAGATAAATAACTATGCAGCTTTAAGAAGACATCTGAAGGCAGTTTTTAATGTTTTATTATGCCTTAAATTTGTTGGAAAAAGGGACTTGCCGATCAGAAGGTCGGCGGTTCGAATCCCCACAATGGGGTGAGCTCCATCCCTGCTCCTGCCAACCTAGCAGTTCGAAAGCACGTCAAAGTGCAAGTAGATAAATAGGTACCGCTCCAGCGGGAAGGTAAACGGTGTTTCCATGCACTGCTCTGGTTCGCCAGAAGCGGCTTAGTCATGCTGGCCACATGACCCGGAAGCTGTACACTGGCTCCCTTGGCCAATAAAGCGAGATGAGCGCCACAACCCCAGAGTCGGCCATGGCTGGACCTAATGGTCAGGGGTTCTTTTACCTTTACCTAAATTTGTTGGAAGCCACCCAGAGTGCTTGGGGCAACCCAGTCAAATGGGTGGGGTACAAAGAAAACAACAACAACAACAACAACAACAACAACAACAATAATAATAGCCTGCACTAGATGACGCTTGTGGTCCCTTCCAATTCTACAACTCTATGATTCTATGTTCTTTTAATGCATGTGGGGTTGCCAGGAAAACTCCTCCATGACTTCTCCGTGGCCTATTTGAGCATGGCAGTGTTCAGATCCTAACAACCAGTAGCCTGCCTGCTCACTAAAACTATGTGCACATTATCAGCTGAACACACAGCGAGATCGTCCCCAGGCCCTTCTCCATCTCAAGTCACACTTGCACATTGCTGTACACAGCAGAGAGCAGGACAGGGATGCATTCACTGAATACACGTTGGCTGCTTGGCTTCTCCACCTCTGTGACTCACCTCGACTCATATGCACGAAGCTGTCGTACATGCATGTGCAAAGTCTGCCTCAAATGTATAAACCTCAACTTAACAGCAAAGTGAATATGCCCTATATCTTCAAATCAGATGGAAACTGGCCTAAGGGGAAATGCACCAGACAGCAGTGTTTATCAAGGAACTACGACAGGCTTCCTCAAACTCAACCCTCCAGATGTTTTGAGACTACAATTCCCATCATCCCTGACCACTGGTCCTGCTAGCTAGGGATCATGGGAGTTGTAGGCCAAAAACAGCTGGAGGGCCGAGGTTGAGGAAGCCTGAACTACGAGATATAGATGTGGATTTTGGCTAGTATCATGGCTTCAAATACCAGAGGTGGGAGTGCACTGGAGCCAGAATAAAACAGAAATATGTACACAGTCTAAGAGCTTCTAGGGAAGTTCTCCTTTGCATCTCTTCAATATCTGAATTTCATTTAGTTTGGATATAGGAGATGGCCTTCTCAGTGGCTTGGGAATTCTCTCCCTAGGGAGACCTGTCTCACTTGCTTCTAAAGACCTTCTGAAGACCAAAGCACAGCTTTCTCTTCTATCAGGCAATTTTTTCTGCCAATTTGTGAAATATTCTACATTTCCAGTTTTCTTTACTTGAGTCATACCTCTCTGCTGTTTTATCTTAAACTTGTTTCGGGACTTTATATCTTTTTATTGTATATTATGAAGCTGTACCTAAATCTATTTGTAAGCCAGCTCGGTTTCTTCTTTTAATGGAAAGGAAGGGTAGAAATAGTTTAACATATAAATAATAACAATAAAATAGTTACAGACCTGACTTGACCCAGGCTAGTGCCGCAGGCATTCCTACCTAGAGGCAGGGCTCCTGACGTTTGGCTCAGAGAAAGAGATTCAAATGCACACGCTGCCATTTAACAAACTCGAGAAATACAAAACGACTGTTAGTCACTAATTTCTTCACAATGAAATATGCCATGATTAATTTAGGCCATGAGCCTTTCAAACCAAACTCTGACCTTAAAAACTAAATTCTTTGCCTGAGAATATATAACAGTGGTGGTTAGCACTTTAGAATGTACGAAGCCCCTTTAAATGTGCTGTGGGGGGGATTATTGGTTTGTTACTGCTCTTACTTTTACTATGTATTCTGAGGTTCTTTTTTGTAAATTTATCTTGAGATCTGTGGATGAAGGGCAGTACAGTGGTACCTTGGTTCTCAAACACCTTGATATTCAAACAACTTGGAACCCAAACACTGCAGATCCGGAAGCCGAACGTGATCCATTTTGAGTGCCACACTTCTGTTTTGAATGCCACATTTCCGTTTTGAGTGTTACGCTGCGGTCTGTCTGTTTTTCCTATTTATTTTGCGTTTTTGTATTTGTGGCTCTTTTGTTTTGTTTTAGTGACTGTGTGGAACCCTGTTCAGCTACTTACTGATTGACTGATTGACTGATTGATTGATTGTGTGACTGCAGTACATTGTTTATTGCTTTCATTTTATGGATCGATGGTCTCGTTAGAGAGTAAAATTCATGTTAGACTGCTGTTTTAGAGGTTGTTTTTAAAAGTCTGGAATGGATGAATCCATTTTGCATGACTTTCTATGGGAAAGTGCGCCTTGGTTTTGGAATGCTTTGGTTTTGGAACGGACTTCCGCAACAGATTAAATTTGAGAACCAAGGTACCACTGTATACAAATTTCTGAGATCTGCAGATGAAGGCTGGAATACAAATTTATTTACTGACTAAGGAAGTATCAACAACAACAATAAGACAAAGCATCAGCCTATAACCCTTAGGAAGGAACACAGTCAGGCCACTGGTCCATCAAGTTCAGTATTGTCTACTTGGACTGGCAGCTCCAGAATATCAGTCAGGGAATCTCCCTCAGACCTATCTAACATGGAGGTTAGATTGTATCCAGTCTTCAATGTGCATTCCTCCTGATTTGTTTGTGCGGAGGTGATATGCTATCTGCATTTGTCCTTCCTCATTTGCTAGCAGAGCATTTATACTCCTGTTAATCGTGGCGTTTGGCCCAGAAATAAAGCAACGACCAATTTATGCATGTCTAATTGACGTGCGACCGCCTCATTGCACTGAACCCGGAAGCAACTTTTAAAATGGCAAAATAGCCCAGAAAGGGCAAAAAGGCGCATAAACAGTGCCTAGCAATCTCCCCAGCCTTTGCAAGCGCAATCCCAGGAGCCCTTCAACCAATTGTTGAGGCCTGTGGAGAGCTGGAGTTTGAGCAAAGAGGTTTGGAGGGAGCGATTGCCAGTATTCATGGCCAGCTGGTAAGTGCTGCTGGTTTTTAAGGGTTTTTTCAAGGGTTTCCAGAGGGTGTTTGCAGGATCTGCCAATGGCGTTTCATATATATGCAGTTTCACTGCATGTGTGGTGCCTCAGAACATAACCCCCGCATGAGATGGGAGTTGCCTGTTCCTCGCTTAGTCTTCTTCAGATCCACATGCAACAGCTCCCTTTCCATGAAACTTAAGAGACGCCCATCACTCAAGTCCTATTGTGGAGCAGGGAGTCTATTACATCACTATGGTCAATGGAGCAGGCAGAAGCCACTCAAAGAATCTCTCCTCCTCTTCCAAATGGCAGTGCATGAAATAAACCCTTTCCTAAACTGCAAGAAGGAGGGAAGGCGGGTGCTTCGTGAAGTTGTGCTTATCCATCAAGTAGGTGGGAGCTTCTATATGCCTGTTGTCTTTGTCCATGGAGTTTTCTTGGCAGGGATACTGGAGTGGCTTGCCGGATCCTGCTCCAGGTGGATCACGATTGGTCAAAACTCTCCACTATGACCTGTCCAACTTAGGTGGCCCTGCACAGCATAGCTCATAGCTTCTCTGAGTTATTCAAGCCCCTTCGCCACGGCAAGGCAGTGATCCATGAAGGGAAGTGAGAGCTGGACCATAAAGAAGGCTGATCGCCGAAGAATTGATGCTTTTGAATTATGGTGCGGGAGGAGACTCTTGAGAGTCCCATGGACTGCAAGAAGATCAAACCTCTCCATTCTGAAGGAAATCAGCCCTGAGTGCTCACTGGAAGGACAGATCCTGAAGCTGAGGCTCCAATACTTTGGCCACCTCATGAGAAGAGAAGACTCCCTGGAAAAGCCCCTGATGTTGGGAAAGATGGAGGGCACAAGGAGAAGGGGATGACAGAGGACGAGATGGTTGGACAGTGTTCTCAAAGCTACCAGCATATGTCTGACCAAACTGCGGGAAGCAGTGGAAGACAGGAGTGCCTGGCGTGCTCTGGTCCATGGGGTCACGAAGAGGCGGACACGACTAAACGACTAAACAACAGGTGGGAGTAGCACAAGAGATTTGTAATAGCTTCTGCTTGCTTCAAAGCCCAGAGCACGATGGAGCATCCTTCCTGTACCCCATATTTCTGGCTGCAAACCAGACTTGGGAGAGAGAAGCAGTCAGTGGTGGCCACAAATTACGGCTGTTAGTGAACCAAAAGGCAAGATTTGTGGATCCCTGCTACAACACCATGGAGAATGGTGGGATGTGGATTGGGAAGAGGTGGGTTCTAATCCTGGAATAAGATCATAAAGATCACTCAATGGTTTTGGGCAGGCATAGGCAAACTCGGCCCTCCAGATGTTTAGGGACTACAACTCCCATGACCCCTAGCTAACAGGGCCAGTGGTCAGGGATGATGGGAGTTGTAGTCCCAAAACATCTGGAGGACTGAGTTTGCCTGTGTCTGGTCTTGGGTAAGTCACTCATCCCTTTCATGAGAATAACTTGCACCAGAAAAAAAAAGGAATAATCCCATTTCTTCCACACTCAACTGCTGGGAAAGACCATGAGTTATCAGAAGTTCTAAACGGCCTTGTATACCTGAAGGAGCATCTCCACCCCCATCATTCAGCCCGGACATTGAGGTCCAGCTCCGAGGGCCTTCTGGCAGCTCCCACACTGCGATAAACCAAGTTACAGGGAACCTGAGAAGGGGCCTTCTCAGTGGTGGCGCCCACCCTGTGGAATGCCCCCGCATCAAATATTAAGGAGATGAGTAATTATATAATGTTTAGGAAACATCTGAAGGCAGCCCTGTATAAGGAAGTTTTTTAATGTTTGATGTTTTATTATGTTTTTATATGTTCTGGAAGCTGCACAGAGTGGATGGGTCAACCCTGTCAGATGGGTGAGATTATTATTATTATTTACAAAGTATGATTATTTGAAATAACTCATGGCCTAAATTAGGGACACTGCAGAGTCTCCACACCCTCCTCTCATGTCTACCAGATATGGAGAAACAACATGATGCTCCTGATCCATGTGATAAGCACCACCAATTATTAAAGCAAAGAGGAAATTAGTCATCACAAGAAGTCTGCTTTCCACACTAGTCTCATGGCAAGTATAAAGTATCCTTCAAAACCCCTCCTGACCTATGTTGTTTGCAGGTATCTTTTGCAACATTTAACTGACACAACAATAGCGCACATTGGTGGAGGATTTATACTGGGTCATCCACACATCATTTCATTTTATTAGTTGTTCTGAATGCTTTCTCAGTGTTATCACATCATTGCCATCTGGTGGGGCATTCCTGCACTATAGCACAGCAAAAGCAAGGGGAAAATAGAAAATAAAAGCGGAATATTTGTGGTATAAAAAGTTATGGGATGTGCACTGATTGGAAATGAAACTATAACCACACTCGCATCATACATTTAAAGTGCTAAAGCACTTTAAGCAATCATGGCTTCCTGCAAGGAATTCTGGGAAGTGTAGTTTGTAAAGGGAGAAGAGGGTTGTTACAACACCCCTAATACCCCCCCAGAGCTGCAATTCCCAGAGTTCTGTGGCAAGAAAAACTGACAGCTAAATTGTAGCTCTGCAGTTGGGGGCGGGGGAGAATAGGAGCCTTCTAAGAACTTTCACGGGACACGGGTGGCGCTGTGGGTTAAACCACAGAGCCTAGGACTTGCCGATCAGAAGGTCAGCGGTTCAAATCCCTGCGATGGGGTGAGCTCCCGTTGCTCGGTCCCTGCTCCTGCCAACCTAGCAGTTCGAAAGCACGTCAAAGTGCAAGTAGATAAATAGGTAGCGCTCCAGTGGGAAGGTAAACGGCGTTTCTGTGAGCTGCTCTGGTTCGCCAGAAGCGGCTTAGTCATGCTGGCCACATGACCCAGAAGCTGTACGCTGGCTCCCTCGGCCAGTAAAGCGAGATGAGCGCCACAACCCCAGAGTCGGTCACGACTGGACCTAATGGTCAGGGGTCCCTTTACCTTTAAGAACTCTCAGCACCCTTAACAAACTACACTTCCCAGAATTCTTTGGGGGACTGTTGAAAGTAGTACCATAGCGCTTTAAAGGTATGATGTGCATGTGGCCTATATCCGCCCTAAAACGTTTGCAGGCGCAAACAAGTGTCAGAAGCGGGGTTGCATGCAACTGCCCTGATAACCATCATGAGCACCAATTTTCACCAACAGGCCAGAAAAGGGAAGCTTGACATCTCGCCACTTCCATGGGCTGTGATGGCTGAGCAGTCTTAAGAAGGGTTATCAGGGCAACATGAATTTTTGTTCCGAAAAGGATGCCTGAAGTTTGCGTGGGTCCAAATTCACTTTCAGAGTTCTGCAGCATTAAAAAGACCCCCCCCCCCACGTCAGGAATGGGGTGGAGTGGGAAATCTCCTTTGGCCATCCTGATGTTTCTAATCTCCAGTGACCCTCAGTCACACCTAGCATGGCCAGTCAGGGATCCTGGAGACACCAGTTCCTCATCCCTGTGGGTTGGGAAAATCAAAGGCATAGGTCACTCTTTATGCCAACAGCAGACTCAGCGATGCCCTGCACCAAGAGGGAACCTGAACACCCAACCTAGAATCGTAGAGTTGGAAGGGACCCCCTGCGAGGCAGGAATCTTTCTCCGGACGTAAGGACTCGAACCCACGACCGTGAGAGGAAGAGCCTCGTGGTTCCGTGGGCGGCGCTGTCTCTCCGCCCCTTTCTCGCCTTCCTGCCAAGGGCGGGGATGCTAACCTTCCCTGCTGATGCGGGCGGACCGGAGGAGCGCTTGGCAAAACTTCTCGGGGTCCCACAGCCTTTCACCGACAAGGAGGGCGCGAGGCAGAGAGGGGCCCGGACGGGGCGGGTCGCCTGCCCTTCTTGTCCCGGTCCCCTCATCACAAGCATGTTGGTCGGGTTGGAGGGGTGGATGCGGGAAAAATAAAGAGAAAGAGAACTTTTTCTTCCCAGCCGGCCAACTTCAGGGCAAAGGGCGGCGCGATCTGGGTGGAGCGCCTTGCGCTTGGAGGTGGGGAGGAGAGCGGGGGCGTCCCGTCGGGGGACGGCTCTGCTTGCCTCCACCCCACCCCCAGGGAAGCCAAGGGGGCTGACAGGCTCCCCGGGAACGCCGGGGAAAGAGGGATCCCCCTTTCCTCTACCTTGCTGAACACTTCCAGGTCCTCGTCGTCATCGAACTCCAGCAGCTCCGCGGGCACGGGGCGATCCGGGTCCGGGGGCCACGTCGGCGGCTCGGTAGGGGCGGCAGCCTGCCCGCCGCCAGGGGGAAGGCAGGAGGAGGCGATCGGCGGCGGCGAGCCGGGCGCGCAGCGATCAGCTTCCATCCCTCCGTCCCTCCCTCCGTCCGTCCCTCCCTCTCCGGCTGGTGTGCGCGCCCCGCCCGGGAGGCGGGCACGATCCCCGGCGGGCGCCCCTCCTCTCAGCGCCGCAATTGGTCGCCGGAGCGCTTCTCCAGCCCTTTCCTGCCACTGCTCAGAACTGGAGGAGGGCGCGGGGCGGCCGGGAAGGAGCCCGAGGGGTCCCCGTGGAAGGGATCCACGCGGAACGCGAGACGAGATCAGCCCCGGCGCGCGCCCAGCCTTACACCTTAAGGAGGGTGGGAGAGGAAATGGGCGGGGGCAGCTATACCCGGATTGCGTCTGGCTGGGTTTCAGGGTTTCGCGCACGCACCTCTCTGACTCTCACTGTCTCTGTCTCTCTCTCTCTGTGTGTGTGTGTGAGAGAGGGGGGGGGGCAGAGCAGCAGCCAGTAGTTCAACAGGTGAAGCCTGGCTGTCACGCGGCAGTTAAAACACACGAGAGATGATTGGGAAGGAGGGCATGCCAAGGTCTTGGACTGGCAGAGGGACTCTGGAGCTGAACAGCAAAGGCGTTTTGGGTTATGTGGCGCTGTCAAACTTTTGAGTCCCCTCCCTCCTCTGCATGTCCTAGGAAACACCAGTTTGATGCCTTGTAGGATAAAAACTGCAGCAACCTGCAACTTTTATTCATTTTAGCTTTTAATTAATGAAGCCCCAAATAATGAAAAAGATAGATATAGATATAGGTACAGTGGTACCTCAGATTACATACACTTCTGGTTACAGACTCCGCTAACCCAGAAATAGTGCTTCAGGTTAAGAACTGTGCTTCAGGGTGAGAACAGAAATCGTGCTCTGGCGGAACGGCAGCAGGAGGAGGCCCCATTAGCTAAAGTGTTGCTTCAGGTTAAGAACAGTTTCAGGTTAAGAACGGACCTCCAGAACGAATTAAGTACTTAACCCGAGGTACCACTGTATATTGATGCTTTTGAATTACGGTGTTGGAGGAGACTCTTGAGTGTCCCATGGACTGCAAGAAGATCAAAATTATCTATTCTTAAGGAAATCAGCCCTGAGTGCTCACTGGAAGGACAGATCCTGAAGCTGAGGCTCCAATACTTTGGCCACCTCATGAAAAGAGAAGACTCCCTGGAAAAGATCCTGATGTTGGGAAAAATTGAGGGCGCAAGGAGAAGGGGATGACAGAGGACGAGATGGTTGGATAGTGTTCTCGAAGCTACCAGCATGAGTTTGACCAAACTGCAGGAGGCAGTGGAAGGAGCAGAAGGTGGCAAACACATCAATAAGCAAACATTTCTTTTTTTAAAATTCTAAAAGCAGGTAAAAACAGTTACCGTATTTTTCGCTCTATAAGACGCACCCGACCATAAGATGCACCTAGTTTTAGAGGAGAAGAACAAGGGAAAAAATGATCAATCCCTCTTGCTCTCCTGTCTTCAGCAAAAGCAATGCGAAGCATCCAGAGGCTTCCAGTGGCTATCCCTGAAGCCAGGAGAGCAAGAAGGGTCGGTGCATTGCTTTCACTGAAGCCATGGAGCCTGCATTTGCTCCATAAGACGCACACACATTTCCCCTTACTTTTTAGGAGGGGAAAAGTGTGTCTTACAGAGCGAAAAATATGGTATCTCATGGTTTCCAGGAAGAGTGTCTCAGCCATCAAATGTCTGGGCAACCCGAAATGTTGATACATTTCTCCTGCATTTCAGTAATGACAGAGGCCGATACATCTCGCCAGGGAGGGCAATCTGCAAATGGGGAACCACCACTGAGACTAGTGGAAGGTTTTTATATATGCTGTGTTTTTATATAAGCTGTAAGCGGCTGGGAAAACCCAGCCAGATGGGCGGGGTATAAATGGTAAAATGGTTGTTGTTATTCCTTTGGAGGGTCTCTGTGCAGTTATGCCATTGCTACAGACTCACTGTTTCGTAATTTCTTTATTGTTTTCACACAGTTCATTCTAGATATCACATGGGAAATTAGCCTTCCTGACAGAAGTCCAGCCTTTTGCATCAGACACCTATGGCCCACACATCAGATGCTTGTGTGTTCATGTTTCCAAGTGATTGGCTGTGAACTGAAATACCCAGCTTTGCATTTCTGGAGTGCCAGTAGTGACATTTTTTAAATCTTCTCTGCATAGCTCAGGCCACGATTTGTGCTATCTGAAGCATCTCTGAGTAAACAAAGCATCCGACTGTAGGATTTAAACCTCTAATCCAGCCGTCAGAAGGATGGTTTACGTGAACATTGGCTTTTCATTCTGGAATGCTATGCACTCATCTTAAAAGACTGGAACTTGAATAGCTGCCAGATACATCAGTGTTACAATGTTTGTTAACTCTGGCATAATCACAGTTTATGATGTGCTGGGATACTAGTCAATTCTATTTTCTATTTTATTATATTAAATTATAGACCACTTTTCAAACAAAATGTTTCCCAGAGAGGTTAGCAGAAATATACACAAATATAGAGGCAAGATAGTACTTACCTCTAAGTACGATAGCACCACAAAATATTGTTGCATGCCACCCTAATCTCTGAGTGGTGAGCGGCGTTTACCCAGAATTCATGTTTCTTTTTTTGAAATGAGGCACAGCAGAGACTGTTGTGGCTTTAGGATATATGGTTTATTTACACACATATACAATCTAAGCCTGCAATGGAGGGGTTCACAGCATTAACACCCCCAAAGGATCTTGTTTCTCCCTTAGCTTGTTTCTCCCCCCTCGCCCAGCTTGTCCGGAGTTTTGGGCTGGGTTGCCATCAGTATGCCGATGACACCCAACTCTATCTGTTGATGGATGGCCATCCTGACTCGGCCCCAGACACACTGACCAGATGTTTGGAAGCTGTGGCTGGATGGTTACGTGGGAGCCGGTTGAAGCTAAATCCTTCGAAGACAGAGGTCCTGTGGCTGGGACGGGATGATATGGGATGGGGGGGGCAACTCCCATCTCTTGCGGGGGCGCAATTAGTGCCAGCACCGTCCCTTAAGAGTTTGGGTGTAATCTTCAACACCTCCCTTTCCATGGAGGTGCAGATTGCAGCTATAACAAAGGCGGCATTTTTCCATCTCCGCCAAGCTAAGCAGTTGGCTCCTTACCTCTCTCGCCCTGACCTAGCCACTGTGATCCACGCAACGGTCACCTCCAGACTGGATTATTGTAACTTGCTCTACGTGGGGCTGCCCTTGAGACTGACCCAGAAACTCCAGCGGGTGCAGAATCCTGCAGCGAGACTCCTTACGGGGTCTTCGCTGCGAGATCACATTCACCCGGTGCTATAGCAGCTGCACTGGCTCCTGGTGGAGTACAGGATCAGGTTTAAGGTGCTGGTTTTAACCTTTAAAGCCCTATACGGCCTAGGATCCTCGTACCCACGGGATCGCCTCTCCTGTTATGCCCCACAGAGAAACTTACGGTCTTCAAATAAAAACATCTTGAAGGTCCCAGGCCACAGAGAAGTTAGGCTGGCCTCAACTAGAGCCAGGGCTTTTTCGGCTGTGGCTCCGATCTGGTGGAACACTCTGTCACAAGAGACTAGGGGCCTGCGGGACTTGACATCTTTCCACAGGGCCTGCAAGACAGAGCTGTTCCACCAGGCCTTTGGCCAGGGCACAGCCTGACTCCCTCCTTCGGCAATCTTCGCGGAGCTCTGGCCCAATGGTTGCCAGTGGCTTGATTTGAATTAATTTTATAATGAATGGTTTTAGAGTGTTGTTTGTGCTGTACTTTTGTACTGTTTTATTGTTGTTAGCTGCCCTGAGCCCGACTTCAGCTGGGGAGGGCGGGATATAAATAATTTTTATTATTATTATTATTATTATTATTATTATTATTATAGCTACAGCCTTGGATTCAAGCTGAAAGCAAACATCAGACGAGGGCAACCGAGATGATCAAGGGTCTGGAAACCAAGCCATATGAGGAACGGTTGAAGGAGCTGGGTATGTTTACCCTGGAAAAGAGGTGACCGAGAGGAGATATGATAGCTGTCTTCAAATATTTTGTGGGCTGTCACATGGAAGAGAGAGCCAGCTTGTTTTCTCCGGCTCTGGAGGGTAGGACTCGAATCAATGGCTTCAAGTTACAAGAAAGGAGCTTCCGACTAAGCATTAGGAAAAACTTTTGACTGTAAGAACTGTTCAACAGTGGAACAGTGGAACAGACTCCCTCCAGCAGTTGTGGACTCTCCTTCCTTGGACGTATGTAAGCAGAGGTTGGTTGATCCTCTGTCATGGATGCTTTAGTTGAGATTCCTGCATTGCAGAAGGTTGGACCAGATGCCCCTTGGGCAGTGTCAGATTTATGTATAGGCTAAGTAGGCTGAAGCCTAGGGCCTCTAAATCTAGGGGGCCTCACCAGCCCATCCGCTACCCAGCGGGCAGTCTCCCCTCTCCCATAATTGCAAACCCAAGACTTCATGTGAGGGCAGGGCAACTCGGGCCTCTAAATCTAGGGGGCCTCCCCAGCCTGCCCTCTTCCCAGTGCTGCAGTCTCACATCTCCCAAAATTGCAAACCCAATGGAAGTGCAGGGCAACTCAGGCCCCAGCAACTATGAGACTCAGGGGTAGCCAGTGGGGTACAACTTGAATTTTTGTTGTTATAGGGCCCCACTTCACAGCCAAAGTCTGCAAAATCTTATAGATATAAATAAAACCCATCTACATTGCCCTGGTACGGGGGAGCCCCTTAGGAGCGGCACGTGGTGCCCAATTTGGCCAAATTGCTCCAATTGCCTTAAGGTCAGCCCTGATGAGACTGTGCAGGGAATGGACTGACAAGCCCTTGCACATTCTAAGTCCCTGGTGTCACTATTCAGAGTACAGACTCAATGACTTGTTATGGAAATAAAGGGGGGCACTTATTGGAAATCAGTTTTGTCACCTCCCTCCCCAAACCCTGAGACAATGAGGCCAGCCACTTTTTATTCACAGCTGCATAAGCACTACATTACAGCATGGACATAAACCTGTACGTTCAACAGCTGAAATATACACCCAATATGTAGCAATGGAGATTTGTTACTGCTTTATGA